CAATAAGCATGGTAGCGCGGTATTCGTGAGAACTCAAACCATAGTCTCATCTGTGGGAATAACAAATGTACACAGTATAGAGATAATAACCACCGAGATCGGAAAATGCACAATAACCTCGGTATACAAGCCTACAAACCAGCCTTTTATATTTTCACCCCAACTAACTTTCAATCCCAAGCCAATCAACTTGTACTCGGAAACTTTAACAGTCACAGTTTACTCTGGGGCTATGCAAATTTGGATGCAAGTGACGCAGTAGAAGCATGGGCCGAAACTAGCGGCCTCACGTTAATCCATGATCCTAAACTTCCACCATCTTTTCAGAGCAAAGTTTGGAAAAGAGGATATAACTCGGATATATTTTTCAAGTAACAACCTCTAAGACCGATGTACCAAAGTAGATATGGTCCCATACCAAAAACTCAGCATAGCCCAATTGATATAAATATCTTTCCAATTGTCAGACCACAAGCTATTCCATCCAGAAGGAGATTTAACTTAAAAAAGGCAAACTAGCAAAAGTATGCAGACATGCTAGATTCTGAGCTGCTACGTTTTGAACCAAAAGTAGAGAACTACGAAAAATTTGTAGAGGTACAAAAATGTGTCTAGAAAAGCTATACCTAGAGGATGTAGACAACAATATGTTGCCGGGATGTCCAGCGAGTCCAAAAAACTAATAAAAACATACGAAATCCTCTATTCCACTGACCCTTTTAGCCAAGGAACGGTTGACTGCGGAGCAGTACTACTCCAACACCTAAGTCAAGCCAGACAGGAAAAGTGGATTGAGACCCTGGAAAAAATGGACATGACACATAATAGCAAAATAGCATAGAACCTTGTAAAAAAACTCAGTTGTGATCCAAAAAAAAACATAAACCACCTTGCAAGGTTACAGCAAACCAAGTCGCTGCTCAACTCCTTACGAATGGAAGAACTACTTACCGATATAAGGACCCAAACACTAGGAGAAGATTGGATTCGGAGACAAACTAGGAACTCCTTTTACACTAAAAGAACTCCACGGCGGTATAAACAGGTACAAAAACGGGACAGCTGCAGGTGTGGATGATATATGCAGTGAACAAATAAAGCATCTAGGCTAAGGAGCAAAAATATGGATCTTGCAATTTTATAACACGTGCTGTAAAACCTGCAAAATTCTAAAATCATGAAGAAAATCTTAAGTAATAGCCTTTTCTGGGTCCAGGAAAATATCCAGAAAATCTCAGTAGCTACAGACCTATTTCGCTATTGTGTCAAACTATACTATATATACAAACGAGAGACTCATACTCGCCAGAATAGAAAAAAATGTCGACAAGCACCTCATTCCACAACAAGGAGGATTCAGACCCAGCAAATCTTGCATCGGTCAACTCCTCGCACTAACAGAACACATTGGAGAGGGCTTTGAAGAAAAAAATATAACAAGGTCTGCTTTCGTAGATCTGACAGCAGCCTATGACACAGTAAGGCACAAAATATTGCTCCGCAAATTATACGACACTTTCAATGACCACCATATATTCCTTACTGCAAAATATACGTTTTTTTCGTTATGTTGGAGGGTAAAGTAAGTAGGTGGAAATTTAAAAAAAAAACGGCCTGCCATAGGGAAGTGTTTTAGACCAACTTACTCTGACAGAAACCAAACACTTCCTCTATGCTGACGATCTTGCAATATGTAGAGGAGAAACTCGAAACTGTCTTAAAAACAAAGACAGCGTACTACCTGCAGAATTCTCTGAGGCCTAATCCCTCTAAAATTCAAGTCTGCGCTTTCCACCTTCGCGCAAAGGAAACCAAGCGAAAACTCCAAATTGTGTGGAATGGTAATACATTAGAACACACAAACCAACCCATATATCTTGGAGTATCTCTGGACCGTCCCGTACCTACAGATAACATTGCATAAAAACGGGAAGGAAAGTAACAACTAGGAACAGCATACTCAGAAAGCTAACGGGAAGTAAATGATGCTAACCTCGATGGTTTATACCATGATACTATGAACACAGTATAGACAACAACAAGTTGTTATTTATACTGTGCTATGAATAACAAGATAAGATCTTCCCGAGTAGAACCGGGTATATACCCGGTTCGCTATTCCCAGTCCGAACTGTCTAGTGATTTTAGTAATTATTTTTTTGCGAAGTTAGTTACTTTTTGACAGACTGGAAGTGGCTGGAAATTACTATACAACCAAGCATACGTGCTCTTAGTCAATATTAATGTAAACAAAAGTAAATAAAATAGAACTTTGCCTACAATCAAAATTTATTTATTTACACCGTGTACATTTATTGATAACAAATAATAAAATTTATTGTACAAAATAAAAAAAGTGGGAATAAATTCTACAAAATTAAAAAGTCAAAGTGAGGTTAAATAAGACACAGCAAGTTCCTTATGTTGTGACTAGGATGGAATCAATGATTAAATAACAGTTAATTTGATAGCATTAACATAAACTGTTGTTTTATTATCTTACAATATAAGTGTACTTCCATATGCTAAAAGCAAATATTAGTAATTGGACTAAGCATATTCGTGGTTCAAGAGTAATTTTTGCTCATTAGCATTTGAGGATATTAAAATCTTCCACATATGGTGAATGAATTCAGTGTCCTGGCCGCAGTCTGCAGTCATATAAACTCAAACAAACAACAAAAACCTCCATGTAAGTATAAACAAGTTTATATTAAATTAGAAACAACTAATCTAAAAATATTAACTTTTAAAAAACATTTTATCATATTTATTAAGAAAAACTTACCAACGCATTAGCTGATGGAACAAATGGAAAACTTTGACTATCCATAATAATGAAATTTAAAATATAACTAACTAATTAACTGAATAGAACTAATAAAAGAATTAAACAAAGATAATAAAACAATAAAACTATATTAAATTAAATAAACAACGCGAATAATACAAATATTTACTACAATATTTTAAATTGTAACAATTCAAATATTATATTTATACAGGGAAAATTTGATGGGTTTAGTATACACTTCCACTATTTAGAATAATTCTTCTTTTTTTTTCAAAGAAAGAAGTCTGCAATAGTAGTATACTTGAGCTATTAATACTGAGAAGTAGGAATTGTTGTGTTGTAGGTTTCCGACAATGAGTCTGTCAAAATATGCCCTAGCTAAGCGAATAGACAATATTGTCTATTCGCTTAGCTAGGGCATATTTTGACAGACTCATTGTCGGAAACCTACAACACAACAATTCCTACTTCTCAGTATTAATAGCTCAAGTATACTACTATTGCAGACTTCTTTCTTTGAAAAAAAGAAGAATTATTCTAAATAGTGGAAGTGTATACTAAACCCATCAAATTTTTCCTGTATATTTAAAATATAAAATTTGAATTGTTACAATTTAAAATATTGTAGTAAATATTTGTATTATTCGCGTTGTTTATTTAATTTAATATAGTTTTATTGTTTTATTATCTTTGTTTAATTCTTTTGTTAGTTCTATTCAGTTAATTAGTTAGTTATATTTTAAATTTTATTATTATGGACATTCAAAGTTTTCCATTTGTTCCATCAGCTAATGCGTTGGTAAGTTTTTCTTAATAAATATGGTAAAATGTTTTTTAAAAGTTAATATTTTTAGATTAGTTGTTTCTAATTTAATATAAATGGTTTTTATAAAGTACTTACATGGAGGTTTTTGTTGTTTGTTTGGGTTTATATGACTGCAGGCAAAAATTACTGTTGAACCACGAATTTGCCTAGTCAAATTACTAATATTTGCTTTTAGCATATGGAAGTACACTTATTTTGTAAGATAATAAAACAACAGTTTATGTTAATGCTATCCAATGAACTGTTAATCTTTAATCATTGATTCCATCCTAGTCATAACATAAGGAACTTGCTGTGTCTTATTTAACCTCACTTTGACTTTTTAATTTTGTAGAATTTATTCCCACTTTTTTTATTTTGTACAATAAATAATTTTATTATTTGTTATCAATACATTATACGGTGTAAATAAATAAATATTGATTGTCGGCAAAGTTCTATTTTATTTACATTAATATTGACTAAGAGCACGTATGCTTGGTTGTATAGTAATTTCCAGCCACTTCGAGTCTGTCAAAAAGTAACTAACTTCGCAAAAAAATAATTACTAAAATCACTAGACAGTTCGGACTGGGAATAGCGAACCGGGTATAACAATATTTTTGCCTCCACTACCTTTACATTCCCTCTTTTGTCTTTTTGCACACCTCACACATACAAATTGCTGTTTCTGTTTTACGTTTTACGGATTTCTACGAATTTTTGAAGCGCCCTCTACGGAAATATTCAGTTGCGGAGTTAAACAACACTTGCCTATCTATATCTATTTCTACTATTTAAATACTATTATGCTATTATATTATATTATTTACCGTTAATGGGTTTAATTTTTTATAACTAGGAAGGAGGCATAAAACAAAACACAGGCTCTTAACAAGAACAAAAAATAATCATCATCATTTATTTTCAATCCATAGATGTTTCAATATTTTTGATTGTTTTGTTACAGAGCGCTTATACATCAGCTTACATTAAATATCGTACAGGTTGATCACAATATAATGAATGTAATGTAATAAAAGTAAGCCCCTATGTAATAATTGTGCACCAGATCCTGTAAGTTGATGAAGCCTGCATTAATTAAAGGAAAAAGTTACTTAATGTGTTTTCATATTATAGGAAGTAAAATCAAGGTATGCTCTAACCTCACTAACTAATCATTGATAATTGCAAAAAAAATTTAGTTTCCATAGTTAGCAAAGTTAGACCATAATATGAATCTACTGGACATATATTGTTGGCATTCATATTTTATTTCAAAATTAAATGTCTCATGAAATATAGACCCCAGGGATACAAGCTGATGAACTTTTAATTTAACATACAGCTATACTAGAATTTTATTTTACTCCAGATGTAGAAATCCAATGTAAATATTTAATGAATATACATTCATGCTTACCTTTTTTTAGTAAAAAAATGACAAACCTAGTCAAAACCCCAGCGATGGTACTTCAAGAACTAGCCATAAAGAAAGGTTTTCCACCACCTCATTATGAAATTATTCATAGTGTCTCTGGAAGTCATAATAATAGATTTGATTATAGAGTAAGAGTAGCTGGAGTGGAAGCAATTGGTACTGGCAGTTCAAAACAGATTAGTAAACATGACGCTGCATATCACGCATTAAAAATGTTAGAAGAGGATGGTATTTATGACCCAAAAGAACTACCTATGAAGGAATTTAATGCCTCTATTATTCAAAAACAAAATGATTTACCACCTGGTATTCCCATATCTGCATCTGTTAACTTCGTAGGTAAGTGGAATAGTGTTTTTCATTAATAAAAGAAAATAATGACAGTTCTTTGATTTTATTATATATAAATAACTTTAACGCCATTCCACTTGTTATTACCCTTTTACATATATCTAAGTTAAACTATATTGTCTTATTTTAGTCTATAGAATCCATGGTACTTAAAACAAGTCTTTTTAAGACACACTGTATAATACCCAACTAAATCCAGCTTAATAGAAATAAAAAAAGGAAATAATAATTAATTAAAAGAAAACATTCAAGTCAACTTGTCTAAATCATGGTTTGTCAGACAAATAGAGGATGATGAAAAACAGCAAGGCAAAAAAGATCTCTTCAATCAAGAAAAAGTCAAAAAGAAATGGAAATACATACCTTTTCAGGAAGTGTCAGAAAAAATCAAAGTGTCCATATGTACAAAACTCTTCACACCTCACCCGTACAATGAAGGATTAATAATATATTTGAATTATTCTTTATTTAATGCTATAAAATTGAATTTGAGGATTATTTTTTTGCATCTACTGTATTTTTTCGAATTTACCATAGTTTTATGGCCCTAGTACAATAATCCAACTCTTCAGGGTTTGGAACACTGGGTTTCAGCTAGAAAGGACCTGCTTAGTGTCCAGATCTTGTTCTAGAAAATATCTTCTTGTTTTTGTGTCTTGTCTTAGGTGTTTGTTCTTCCAGATTGTCATTAAGATAACCCGCCGCTTTACTTGCATTTAAGCTTTGTTGTCGTACTTCTTCAACATCTTCGTAACTAGTTATATATATTCCCAGATATCTAAACCTTGTTTCCTGCTTTATTATTTTCCCATCAATTTCGATTTTACACCGCAGTGGGTATTTAGATGTTGTCATACACTAGGGGTTTTCTGCTGATATTATCATATTGTATTTCTTAGTTGTTGTATTGAAGATATGTGTTAATCTTTGGAACTTGTCTTCTGTCTAGGTGATTAATGCAGCGTCATCTGCATAACATAATATTTGGATTTCTTTGTTCCCCATTCTGTAGCCATGACCTTTACATACTGCTTGTATTATTTCGTCCATTATTATATTAAAGAGAAGTGGGCTCAACAAGTCACCCTGTCTGACTCCGCTTTGTACTGTTTCTTTTATACAGTAGGTGTATGACGTCTTCGACTTGAATGAGATCGAAAGCCTTTGTCAGGTCTATAAAATATAGATATGCTGGTTTATTGTAGATTTATACCATTTAGACCATTGGTTGAAAGGGAAGCAGTTTCCAATGCCAACCATATATTTATTTGTGGCATTAAAACAAAAACCAGAACCACAGTTACAATATCTTTTGTTGATCTTGAATGGCATTGAGGAACAGAACAATATCGATTTGATTTAAGATTTAAAATACTTTAATGTAGTCATAATGCTGAAATTTATTAAAAAATTCTATTCAAATCAACAGCTGTCAACAACAATTCAAATCAACAGCTGTCTGGTTTGTTTATACCACTTTTAGTAGTTTAAATTTATTCCGCCAGAGGTAAGATACTTTGTTTTCAATCGCGAATACTGACGGTAAACTATTGTAGGTAAAGTATTATACATACAGTATTTATAAAGGCAGTTGAAACACATGAAAAACTGGTGGTTGACGAACATTATAAGAATATATCATATTTTGAGACATGGGCGCATCATTTATTTTTATATTCAATTATAGATTAATGAGAAACAGAATAAGAACAATTTTAATGTACGTAAAACGATCGTAAAGTACATAAGTGTATAAGAAAAGTTGTCAACATGTCATATTTAGCAACAAAAATAATTTAATTTAGTTTAAATAATCAATGAATAATAATAGGACATTAAAATAGAAAGAAATTATCTCAAAACTAAAGAGTTTATGTTTGCTCCAACGTTTCACGATTTAAATAATAAAATTGAAATTAAATAAAAAGTCATTGAGGTAGGTATACTTCACACATAAAAAATATTTTTTTTACGAAAACAATTAAACTTTTTTAAAAATCGTAGCTGTGCTTGTTTAACTACCAATATATCAATCTGATTGAATAATTTTTTCATTAACATTCTTAAAATAATAAAATTAATCATAACTAACATTTACATTTCAAGCCCCATTGAAAGACATTTGTGCTGAAAAGAAAATTCAAGATCCAGTGTTTACGGAACTATCAGATGTTGGACCACCACATTGTAGAGAATTCACCTATGAATGTGGCATAGGATCTGTTAAAACTGTTGCGACTAGCACGACAAAAAAGATGGCGAAACAACTAGCTGCGAGAGAAATGTTGGAAAGGTATGTTTATATAAATGTGTACTAGGATCTGTGTAAATTTCTATAATATCGATACATTTTTGGCAAAGTAACGTAAGTGACATTTTTGGCGAAAATAATGTTTTTCAATTAAACTAATGCTATTACTGTTAAAAAGGTACTGAAAGAGTGTAGTAAGCCTAGAATTACTTTAAACCTTTTTTAGGACAAGTTTTTTCAGTCATAATTTAAATAAGTTTAAGCAGGTTGAATTAAAAAAATGTTTTTTCTACAAATCGTTTTTGGTGACTTACGTTACTTTGCCAAAAATGTATCGATATACCTATGTATAGTACTTACTTTTGATTGATATTTTTATTCACGTCATATTTCTTGCAGAGATTCTCGATGATCTCATAGGGGCTGTTTCAGTATCATTTCATTTGGTATTCGCCATGTGTTGTTTCCAAACGTTGTCTCTTATATTGATAATTATGTTGTCTAATATTTGTTTGTTTGTATAATTGGTTCCTTGGTGTACATTGAAGTTACTTCATGCATATTTTGTTGATTTTGTAGGAAATTGGATTTTTAATTGGGCAAATAGTTAGTATTTTGATGAGTGAGGTCTGGAATTTTTACTAGGAGGATATTAATCAAGATATTTTTTAAAATCATTTCTTGGGGTACTTATCCCCTGAATTTAAATCTGGAGAGTTCTTTATATGTTCAGTTTTTGTAGACAAAATAGATATTTGAAGATTTAATAATATTGTATTCGGTAACAAAAATCAAATGGAGATACATTTCCTTTTTTTAAATCTGAATTTTCTATGCTTAAATTTTAAATATGTCTTTTATCTAGAAGTAGGTATTTATTACAGCATCTTTTAACTCTTGTCAAGTTCTAAGATAACATGCGGAAATGTTAATTGCGGCTTCGCCTTTTATTTTCGTTATTATGCTGGACATTGAATCTGTAGCATTATATAATTTGTTTAACAGTATTTCATAAATTTCTAAAAATCTAGCAAGCAATGTAAAATTACAATTAACGTCTGAGATCATGTCTAAATATTATCTTTTTAATTTTGTAGTTATCAATTTATCGTTTGAATTGAAACTGTTAAAAATTTGTATATAAATGTAAATATTTTGAGTGTCTGTCTCGGTAGGCTACTCCATGGACGTATAAACACAGATGGACTCAGTTATTTACATAATATTGTGAAGTCAAAATTATTTGAATAGGTCACATTCTCAGCACCTTCAACTGTTGTCACGTTTTGTTTTAAAATGTCTTATTCGCGAGTCGCTGAAAATATTACTCCGTATTTTATACTCTACAGGTGCTATCAAACCAAAATAATAATTTATTGGTTAGATTAATATATTTAATTGTAATCAAAATATAAAGTGTGCACATAGTGTGCATTATCATTTAATAATAACGTATAATAGATATCAATCAATTATTTTATATGTAGAAGCACTGAAAACTATTTATAAAGGCAACGGTTGTTTACATTTCTCTATCTTATGGATCTACGTCAAACTTCAAATGCTGTTCCATGTTTGTTTACTTTTTAGTAAAAGTTGTTTTTCGATATTTTAGCTGTATTTTGAGTGATATTTGTGAAAAGTGAAATAAAATACACGAAATATTTACATCCCGATCTCTCATTTCATTTGTAAGTACATACAATTTACATTATTTAAGATGAGGAAATGAGGAAGCGTGTTTGTTTACATTTTAATAGGCGTACCATTGGGTTTATTCATGTTCATTAATGTATTGAATGATATATAAGTTCATGAAATTAGTAGACATTTTTAAATTGTAAATAGACATCATCTGATTAAAAAAGATCTATTTACTTAGTACCTTTTTAATCTAATATTTCTCGTGGATGCAAATAAATTAGTGTAATGAATAAAACTCATTTATTTTTCTATGTAGGTTTCCAAATAATATTGACTATCGAACTATTTTGGTAGCAAATTTAGGAGAAAACATAAAGATTTTTTATTGTAGCATTATTTTGATACCTATTAAAAATTAACTTGAATTCAACTATATTTTTTTGTATTAATTTTAAAGCAAATAAAATTGTATTTTAATTTTTATATAAAGACGTGATTTGTTAATAGTTAAACTCTCGTTTTTTTTAAATTCTTTGAACGGGTTTTTATACATAATTACTACTTTCAATTTTTAAAATCTGAATAATTACCCGCGAGTAAAAATTCAAGCACGCTTATGCTCTTTGCGGAAGCATTACATTCTATCGAAGCTTCAAAACATTGTGTGTTAAAGGTATCTTATTGCTGTGTCCATCTATGTTTATACGTCCATGGGCTACTCAGTTCACCTAGCTGGAACTTTCGATGGGAGAAATTGTTTGAATTGTAGTAAAAAATAGAAACATACCGGTAATTATATTCACTAATTCCTGTTTGACAATCCTACTGATTGCGCCACTTTTCTTTACATGTATTATGTTGAGTAATTGTAAAATTTATCGAAAGAACGGTAAAAAACGCTGACTTCGTTGTGCTGAACATTTAAAGGTTTAAGTGTTTAATTTTGTGTACTGAATTTTTCAAGTTTATTAAGTGTTTTTTCTTTGAAATGAACCACCAGTAGCAAGAAAATCGAAATTTGTCAGAAAGTGACTGTTTTAGAATCGTTACTCTTCGCGAAGAAGGATACACTCAACTGAAGTAAAACTCGCTGAACGTTTTAACGTCACCCAGTCAACCATTTCAAGAGTGTTAACACGTTTTTCTATTACTGGAAGTATCTAGAGAAGACCCGCTCAAGGCCGTAAAAGGGTTACAACTCCTTTTTAGACAGGTTTTTGACACTTTGTACACTGAGACAAAGGTTTGTTACCAGTGCTTCTTACAAAATGAATTTTTGGATCTTTATAATTTTAGAATCAGCCAAAATACGATTAGAAGAAGATTTGCCGAAAACGACCTACACCCTGGAAGGGCACCAATTGGCCCATTATTGACCAGAGACCATAGAAGGCAAAGATTGCATTTTGTTCGTGAACATGTTGATTGGAATAATGACGATTGGGGAAAAATATTGTTCACCGATGAATCCAGGTACTCTCTTTTTTCTGATGACAGGAGAAACCGAGTTTATAGAAGGCCTGGGAAACGCTACGCACAGTGTAACATCGTAGGGACTGTACAGTATGGCGGCGGCTCGGTAATGGTGTGGGGTGGGATTAATTTAGAGGCTCGTACGGAATTAGTTAGAATAGATCGCGGTCGGCTTACATCGCAGACGTATATAACAGACATTTTAGATGAGATGTCGTGCCATTTGCACCATTTATTGGCGATAATTTCATGTTTATGCAAGATAATGCCAGGTCACGCACGACAAGAATTGTGCAACAGTATCGTCAGAAGGTTGGAATTCCTGCCATGGATTGGCCTGCGAGAAGTCCTGATCTCAACCCAATAGAACATGTTTGGGACATTATAGGCAGACGACTACGACAACTACCTAATGCACCTAACACATTAGATAAACTGTTTTTGCGTTTGGTTGAAATTTGGGATCAAATTGATCAAGAAGAAATCAGAACGATTATTCTCAGTATGAGAGATCGTTGTCAAGCAGTAATAAATGCCAGAGGAGGCAATACTCCATACTAGTACACGATACTAGTATTTTCTTCAACTTTAAAAATTTCAATTTCGTCATTAATTTATAATGTTAGTTTGTTTAGATCAGTCGTTTGTTTAGATGTTTAGATTTATGATGTTCTAAAACAAACATAAAGCAAAAAGAACAAACAATTTTTTTTTATTACAGCTTAAAATAAGAATTTTAAAATTATGCGTTAATTTTGGAGCGCAGTGTATATTAAGACTTTGAGTTATTGCTTAGCATTATTTATTGTTTATCATTTCTTTATAAATTAGACATATTTCGATAGTCTCGATATATTTTTTAGGTTAACCGATATTCTACAGAATTTAGTAATAGATGCTCCTAGAAAGGAAGAATTACAACAATTACCATCTACAGAAAAAAATCATGAAATTCTCGAACGTTACAATAATTTATTCGGATCAGTTATACCGGATAAAAAAGGAAAAATAAAGGATTTCACGTACGTTTTCAGCGAGCTGTTAAAAAAAATTGAAAAAACCAGAAAAGATTTTGTTCAAGTAAGTTTTTTTTTGAAATTTTTAAGTAGTCATGACAGTCTTGAACGGAGTTTTGAGCGTAATTGTTCAGTAAATGTGCGGGTGGAATGTTTAATTGAACCCTATCTTTTACCAGATAAATTAGAGAAACTATATGTGCATGATTTTTGCAAATATCCTGTTAAATATTAGATAGCACATGAGGTTTTAGCAGGATCTGTGCTAAAGATCTAGTACGCTTGTTTCCAGATCAATACGCATTTGTGATGATGCAAGTAGACCCGCTGAGCTCTCTAGTTTAAAACAAGCTCTTATCCAAAACGGTTACCGCGAAAATCACATCAATAGGAGCATCCACAGACATCAATCTCCCAGTCAATATCAACCCAAAGACCCAAATCCATATCATACGAAGGCTTTTCTTTTGCGCCTACGCTCTTAACGATAAAAACGTCAACGAGTTACAACGACCCACCTCTACTACTCGTTACCCTACTTTGATTTGGTGCTTTGACCAGACAGACGTTACCAAATAATTTTCTATGAAGAGTTTTTAATGTAGCGTTATTGTATAGTCGGCACGTAATTTCGTGAGAAAATTTACAGAGACCAAAGCAAGCCAAATACTGGTAAAATGGCAACGCTGTTAAAGTTACCTCTATTTTATCGTAGTACATAGTAGTAGAACAGTAGCGTAGATATCTAATTTTAAATTAAATAAAAGTTTTTACTTTTATTTAATTTTATTTACCAAAAAGTTTTATTTTCTATAAAGTTTAAATAAAAAATATCGGTGTTTTTAACTTCTATGATATATCTTGGGAGTGATAACACTAATCGACTCGACTGAACAGAACTTATTGTAAAATAATTATATCTATATAAAACATTGTTAATAATAGTAGTTATTCAGCGAGAATGACAGTGACAGTTTCAGTTGACATACTCCCCTAAAACATTAATAATTTTTGTCCTATGAAGAAATGTGTTTATACCCTGTTTTCAAAGATATATAAGCAAAATGAGAATATCTACAATTAAAATAGATATAAAGGTTTCAACTAACACCTAATAAGTACTTACTATCTACTCAGAATCACTCTTATCACTAGTATCACTCGTATCATCTAAATTTATAGGTAATTTGGTCAATGCTGATAAATATTTAACATAGTCATTTTCCACTCCGATCACATGTTTTATTTTTATTACATTTTTCCAGTTGGTTGCTGTAATTTTTGTGACTTCTCTTCTAATTAACTGGAGAACAGTAGACAAAAAATTTTGGAGCAACGTTTCTTCTCATTATATTTCCTTTAAGTTGAGCCCATATTAACTCTATTGGGTTCAATGTACAATAATAAGGAGGAAGTCTAAACACAGTATGCCCGTTACTACGAGCACAGTTGTCAACAACATATTCCTTTTCGTACTGTTTACTATGAACAAACACAAATCTTCCGTGAATAAAAATTCCTGAATTTTTAATTTATTCCAACTATTATTTGAAATTTTTTTCATTAATCTTGAATGATATGATGCGTTGTCCATGATAATCACACTATCTTTAAGTAATTTCGGAAGAAGACATTTTTCAAACCATCATGATAATCCAGAGACGCGTTTTAAATTTGTTTTGCAGATATTAATAATGCATCGTCGACCCATCCATTTTCTCCACCACAGTGTAAAATTATAATCCTCTTTCTTTTATTGGGCGGTACTGAGTTGAAATACTTTTTGTTATTATTTGTCCAACTTTTTTCTCGGTGTCATGAGTATCATACCAAGTCTCATCTAAATAAACAATATTTCGTTTCATTTTTCGATACTCAGATATCTGTCTGGTATAATTGTTTCTTAAAGAAATAATTCTAGTACTTTCTATTAATGTCTGTCTCTTGTCTATAGTTTTGTACTTAAAATTATTGGCTTTAAGAAATAATCGAAGTGTTGTTGCTGAATACGAGAGAATGCACTTTCGAACTAATTCACTTCGAAGGCTTTCAATAGTTGGAAAAATATTAGCCGCATACATTTGGTATATTGTTCTAGTTATAGATTCAATTAAGTGCGGTTCTATTTTTCTGAATTTGCCACAATCCTTTCTCTTCTGTCTAGAAGAAGATGTTTCTCCTATAATTTTGTAGCAGGTTGCTTTGGGCACTCTGGTTAAAAAACATGTTTCTGCAATTGCCTCTGATTTAGATAATTCAGCACACAGTCCTTCATAAACATTTTTTAGCATACGATTGGCATCATCAGAAAGGTATTGAAAATGTCGCTTAAGTTTTACTACACGCCTTTGTAAATCTTCCAATCGATTAGAGGGTTCCATTGTCTCTTCAGCTACATAATTATTATCGCACCACGGACGCAATATTTTAAATTTTCAAACGTATAAAAAAATAATAAACGTAAAAACATATCAAAAAATTAAAAAACGTAAAATATAAAATGTTTTCCGTATAAAGAACACTGAAAAAAGTCACTACCAAACTAACTTGCGGTTCACTATTTGATATTTGAATTTAACTGAACGCTGTAGCAGTTATGATTTTACTAAAAATATTCTTGTCTCCCAAAAATCTGTTGGTCATATCCGCAATTTAAAAATAAAATATAAAAATTTGCCTACCTAAGTTTTCCCCGTCCCGTGCCTTCGGTACTGGACGGTCGAAACCTGATCCCTTATTTTATGACTCCGTAAGCTCAGTCAAATACTGATATAATCTTACCCCAAGTATGAATAAGTCTACCGACAAAAGATAATGCATTATGATTTGTCATAGCGATTTGAACAGCGATATCCGATGTTTTCATTGGCCGTTAGTCCACGTGGACTTATCATAAGTTCGATGAAAACTTAATTGGTTGATTGTTCATATCTGGTTCATATTTTAAAAGATTATACCAGGCACGTCTGAATGTTAATATGGAGTGGAATCTGGAAACTTTGTATTATTATACGTCTGAGTCATTGATAATTTTACAGACTCCTGGTAGAGTACCTTTTTGTTGAATGATTTTATTACAGATACATATATTTTTGCACAGTCTCACGGAAATACGAGGCTACTATATGCAGTTTATTATATCATACTGGGAATAAGGTACAATGTGACTTTAAAATAAGCTTATTTTGATGTTTATATTTTTAATTCGGAAATCGTACTTAAAATACGAAACATTAATAAATTTTGTTTATATAAAACGATTTCCGAAGTGGAAATCAAAATGTTATATTACACTTATTGTAAAGTAAACTTGTGGCATATTCCCAATAAAAAACAGTAAACTGCCATCTTAGAACATTGTTCAAATGCTAAAAAGACAACAGATCAAATAAAACCAATAAGTTTGGCAACTTCCCCTTTTTTTATTATATCCACGCATGCATATTCGGTGATATAAAGGGCGCACCTAATATAACTCTCTCTTTTTAGTGTTTCTCACTCCATCTCACGTAAGGTCCATACCGACCATAAACTTTTACCTATACTGTATATATAGACCCAAATTCTCACATTTTTGTTTGTAATCATAAATGTCACGGAACCCTCTGTAATATAATATTAATGCAAATCCCATAAAATATAATAATAATCACAATATTTTTAAGGATCTATGTGAGCGGACAGAAGACTCTCTAGTCAGAATTTTAAACGAAATGGAACTACAGCATGATATAATTGTGATACAAGAAGAATCCCCATTTATTGTAACTTTATGTATCAATACTGATGTATCATTTACTACAATGGGTCTTGGATTAACTTTAGAAGAGGCAAAAGATGACGCGCTTCAGCAGACATTCATGATGCTTGATTGCTATATTGAAGAATAGTTTTCAAATATTTTTTTTATTTAAATTAATGTTTCTCGGATCCAATGACCATTGACACAATTATTATTGTGTACAATAATTAAATACAATACTGAGTGCTACAGTTAATCTATAAGCTTTAAATATAAACCATCACTAAATAAAAGTTTTACGGCTAAGTAAATTAAAGGTAAAGTAAATGGAAAACAAAGCGGCATAAGTTTATAGAAGAATGTGTTTTACAGTTAATACACTTGAGCACATTTGGCAATTAAGCTTAGGTTCGGACTTTATTAAGTAGTCATGTGTGAATTGGGTATGTCCAATTCTTAATATTCGATGACAGCTTTTTATTTTCTAGAGATTATTTGAAGTTCAAATGTTTTAACAGTCTGTCGGATCTCATGTAATGTACTCTTGAGTGTGTTTCATTGGGTTTGCCAGGTATGATACTGTTGTTGCTTGAACATTTGCTTTAGATCATTACGGATTTGAATATGTTCGGCTTTTGACTGTTGGCTGTTCGCGAAACAGAATTCCCACTCTCCACGGAAAATTAAGTACGCGCATCTCCTTCGCGCAGACGTTTCGCCATGTTTTACGAGGATTTTAAAGGGAACCAGTGTTGTTTATGTGGTGTGCATGGAAAAAAAACCAGGTTTATTTGACTTACGGCAATCATAGACATACTATACAATTATATTAACAGTTTTAAATATAATAACATAAGTATAATATAATTAAACATAAATGTAAACAATTGCATAACCTCACAAATCATATGTTTGTGTCCTCCTAAAACATGGCGCGCGTGCTGAAAAACTTCAAAGGCGGCATCTGAGAGTGGCCCTTCTGATTGTTTATTATTCTGTGGTATGGGATGGTAGCCAGATGATAGTGACTTTACACCTTGAGAAGTGAGTCTACCGTAAGTCCTATGGATTTCTTGAACTAAGGGTTGCTAAGCGTATAGACTTTCAAGGGGGAGTGTGTACATTTTAGATTTTTAAAAGCTTCTAGTGTCGCATAGAATTCGCCAGTGTATACGCTGCATAAATTCGGTAAAGATGATTTTATTATTTCATCACATGTGGTAACGGCGCATCTAACGCCTGCTTCGCTTTTGAAGAAATCTTAGTCCAGTTACTGAGGGTTTTTACCTCCGAATTATTTATAACCGAATCGATTTATTTGAAATTTTGTGTGTTGGTAAATAATTACTCAAGGAACAAAAGTTATATAGTGCCGATGTGCGCTTCCACCCTGGGGGTGTTTGAAGGACAAATTTTAAACAAAAAATGTAGTAAACATTTTTTTCGCTAGATCAATACTTTTTGAGTTATTCGGTGTTAAAAAAATAAACATGTTTTTCAAAGGTTTTTTAAGAATAGCTCTGAAACTAGAGTTTTATTAAAACAAGTGTAACGACTAAAATAAAGCTCATCAAAAAAAACAAAAAGATTGGCTTTTTAATGAATATTTTTGGTTCAATATTAACTGAGTTATGGCTGTTCAAAGAAGGTTTGTTTTTGTTTTTCTTTTAATACGAGTATATAACGGAAAACGGGTACATTTTTCGACAAAAACTCATATAATATTTTTAAAAAAGCTTGAAAAGAGCTTTAAAATGAGTGGTGGTAAAAGTCCTTTGCACCAACTGTACGTGAGATACGATCAAAAAACGATGGGTTTCTCAAATTTTTGTAAAAAAAAGCAATAAAACTAACGTCATGTTCACTAGGATTGAAATAAATTGTTTTCCTTATAGAATTCACTTTATTTTATTGTTTTTTGTATGATCCAAAAGTTTAGCCACTTTAGAATACCCAGTTTTTAAAAAAAGTATGATTACATTTTTTTTGTAAATATTAAAAAAAATCATTTTTTTATAATAACTTCAAAACTATAAAAGATACGTAAAAGATGACAATATACAAAAAATGGGTTTTTTTTCAACAAAAATTATCATTTTTTAATTTTTTTTGTAGCTTAAAAAATAACGGAGATATAGTTGGTTGAAATTTGCTTTATAGCGCATGAACCACTGGTCTCCGACCTTTTGACCCTTCACCCTTTTATCATGAAGGACTTTAGAATGTTTTAACATTCCTATACTTATAGCCCGTTAAATTGTCTGTAAAATCGTTTTTTTATGCATGTTGTAGCATCACTATTAACCGAGTTATTGTAAAAAAAACCAATAGTACTTTTTAGAATAAATTTTGGAGCATGGAAAAATTTTATAATTTGGAGCATTGGAGCATTTCGATGGAACTAATAGACATTTAATATATACATATGCATATATATATATATATATATATATATATATATATATATATATATATATATAAAACAATATATTATTTATATAAATATTATTTATTTTTAGTTTTTTGGAAAATAAAAAAATTGTATTATAAACTAAATTTTTTCTCTTTATGTCCATGTCTAAGTTAAGGATTTAAGGATTTTATTTTCATCAAAAGGGATGCTTGTAAGGGTTGAAAAAAGTAGGCTCATTTTATAAGTAAAAAATTAATTTTTGTCTACAAACAATGCACTCTAAAAATGTTTCAAATCGTTAAAAATATTTTTTAACAAAGGGAGTGGTTGTGAGGGTTGAAATGTTGAAATTATAATAAAAAGTTATTTTATATGCAAAAAATTAATTGTTTCAAACCGATAAAAATATTTTTAAGTTCATTTTTGTCATAAGGGTGGTTATAAGGGTTGAAAATTTCCAATAAATAAAATATTGTATAGCTAGGGTATTAATTTTTATTTGTATTTAAATACATAATTGAAATGTCTCAAGCTGCTACGACTTTTTTTTCATATTATTTTTATAAAAAGTATTAGCTTTTAAGGGTTGAAAATTGTAAATAATTAATTTTCATATTAGAGAACACATTACAATATTTACTTTATGCGAATAAACAAGATTTACAGTAGTAGTAAGTGCATAAAATAATTAAATCCGTGTTTTTCCCAGTTTCTTCAAAAAGGTGTAGTTTTCACCCCTTAAAAACAAAAAAGCGCACCTAGAGCGTATATAACTTTTGAAGTGGAGGGTAAGATAAGCTTAATTTGAAATGTTAGTTATAAAAAATTCGGAGGTATTACCATATTTTAAGCCTCAGTAACTAGAGTATCTGTATATAATTTTTTTTTTAATTGGTTCCTGCTTATGATTTCTTCCAAGCGTTGCCTTATGAGAAGGTTTGAGGTTTCGTGTTTACTGTTTGCTAAAAGAGAAGTGATTGAATGTGTAATTGGTCATTCCAAGAAGTATCTGGGATTGGAAAAGGATGTGTTTTAGTAAGGTCGGTGGGTTTCCTTAGCGTTGATTTCTGGATATCTATTATTGATTGGATCGTTTGCGGGGTTTCAGGAAGTGATGTTGAGGTAATCAAACGATAGACTGGATTGGATCGATTTGCGGACACGGAAGCAAGTAAGATTGTAGAAGATACTCTCGTCGAATTCAGAGGTGGTTCACTAGTCTCTTCAATCTGTTCTGTTCCTTGCTTTGTTTTTCCAGTTGCTAATCTTAAGTGTTTTCAGACCTTGTTCCATGTATCTAACTTTGGGTTTGGGTCATTTACGACTACTGTAAGCAATATTGGACATGTACCTGTTAGATTGGCCTTGTCAATGAAGATGGCAGGACTCTCAGAAATAAATGTAGATGCTGAAGAAGATACGCAATTATACCTTCAAATTTTAATAATAATAGGTTTTTAATTTACCGTAATTATGGCTTAATTCATCGATATTATGTTTACTTGGATTCATTGAACAAATTAAAGGACTCATTGAACAAATCGTTACAGTTACACTGTCCAAATGATTAAGTTCTAAAACAACAACAGATTAAAACATTAACAACACCAAAACTAGACATCACACGAAACCAAATGCGATATGTTCGAACTTAAAGAAACGATGAAAGGACTCATTGAACAAATGAGTACGATATTAAACCTTTTTACTACAGTGATCGTTACACTGTCCAAATGATTAAGTTCCAAAACAACAACAGATTAAAAGATTAACAACACCAAAACCAGATATCACACGAAACCAAATGCAATATGTTCGAACTTGAAGAAACGATGAAAGGACTCATTGAACAAATGAGTACGATATTAAACCTTTTTACTACAGTGATCGTTACACTGTCCAAATGATTAAGTTCCAAAACAACAACAGATTAAAAGATTAACAACACCAAACCTAGACATCACACGAAACCAAATGCGATGTGTTCGATGAAATGACTCATTGAAGAAATGAGTATGATATTAAACCTTTTTACTACAGCGATCGTTACACTGTCCAAATGATTTATGAAGTTTCTTAAAGTGGCACTCTGGAATGCCATAATCAAGAAATCAATTAAGGCATCACTAGCATAACAAAACCACTAAAGACTATTTGCAAATCCATTGTAGATTGGGAAAGGCTATTAACAATAACAGCCATCTATTGCCCACCACGACATAATATAAACAAACAACATGTCACACAGTTCTTCAAATCTCTTTGAAACAGATTTTTGGCAGGCGGAGACTACAACGCTATATATATATATATATATATATATATATATATATATATATATATATATATATATATATATATATATATATATATTTAAAGTTTGAAATCAGTTTTCTAACAATTGTTAAATATTTTATTTCTTAATAAAACATATAAATCACAAATCTTATATTACTTTTAATTATGTTAAAAACTTTTCCCTGGTTTTCCTCCTCCTCTAGCTCCCCCACCACCACGATGTCCTCCTTTTCCTCCACTGTGTCTAAAGAACGTTGATTTGTTGTTATTTTTAAGGGCTCCTTGTTTTTGTCTCTAAAATAAAATACACAATAAGGCATCAAAAATCTAAAAGGGTCAATTAAAATATGTATTTTATACACCTGTAAACCAAACAATCCAAACACAAGTGAGGTAGCAACTTAAATATAACAAATCGAATAGCTTAACTTGCGGAGCGGCTAACTCCGTTTTTTAAAACTTTACAGGAACACTAAAAACTTCTTAAAAAAATTAATACTTACAATATCAATATTCTAAAAATCTATTTGTTGCCTATTTATTTTGCACTTTGAAGTTGCTAAAAAGCATAAAAAAAATATTTTGATTATATAACAATTATTTAAATTTTTTGAGTTAACCTGTTTGTAATAAAAAAAAATAGTAAATAATCTGAGTTGCCCACTTTTCTCTGCATCGTATTATGGAACCTCTATAGGAAAATAAAATCAATCTGAAGTTATATTTTTGTTTATTTTTATTTTATAATCAAGTATTTTATTTTTATTATACAATAGAGTATTTTATTTATCAGTCTTCATGTGGCACATTGTCGTAGTAGTCTACCGCCAAGGTACTTTTTAGTTGTTGTAAGTCTTTGAATTTACGACTACTTATTTTAAGCAGATTTTCATGAAGATTCGGTAAGCTTTCAATAGGTTTAACTGAGACCCTTTTATCACATCGCTGTGGCAGTAACTGCCATTCATCTGTAAACCGTAACTTAAAGTACAAGTTCCCTTATTTATATTGTGGGCCACGAATATCTGACCTAAAAAACAAAACAATAATTTAACAACGTTTTCGTCTTCTGTGTCTGTAGAAGACCAAACAAAATTAACGTTAAAAGTACCTTGGCTTCTCCTGGTCTTATTGACTTATAAAACTGTAAACTTGCGAAGGGTTATGTAAGATACGTTGTAAGGTTTAGGATGTTTGCGAACTCCAACACAACCTTACGCATTTTCAGCTGGTACATGAATTATTTTGTTTTTCAGTTTTCTCTCTATGGTGTTAATGTAAGCGGACTCTCTATGCATTGAGTCCGCTTCCATCTGGGTATGGCCTACCTCTAGATACTTTTCCTGAATTGTCACATTGTTTAATGTTACCACGTTTAGTAATGCATTTGCCAATATTATGTTTCTATTTTGCTCTGTACATCCATCACTGTACAATATAATTTTAGTATCCTGTCTAGGGTCTCTGTGGATACTGGGCAAAAGTTTCTCCGTGATAAACTTGACAATTATGGTAGCGTAATTGTCAGAGGATAGCCCATCTTCAGTCTCGTTCCAGAGATAACAAAATCCGTCTTTATTTTTTATATTAAATATACAGAAATTTTTCGTGCATATCTTAGTTTTAAAATATAGAGATGACGCATTAGATTTGGGTGCCAATAACACAATAATGGCTTGCGTGTCCATTGTGAATACAAATTCTTCTCTATTTTTATCTTGTTCATTTTCAAGTCTAGCATCATTATTTCTTTCTATGTGCTTCTTGTGTTCTGTATCAGGTATATTTCCGAATCTGTGAGAGAGGCACTTTTCGCATTCACCGTTTTTTGGCTTAAACAGTGATATATTTTCAATTTCTAAAGTGTTGCTAAATTTAACAATTGACAGAGGTTTGGTATTTCGTGGCGTGCACCAGTCTAATGTGTAGAAATTGTACAAGGCTTTTTTTATGTCCATTATGGCAACAAATAAAGCTTGGCCGAACTTTTGCGGCAATAATGGGATTCCATTTTCGGAATATTGTTCAAAAACTCTTTAAGTGATTTCACTTCTACTTCGTAGGGATTTTTTGTTGCGTGGTGATTTGTTTTATGAGAAATATTCTCTTTGCCTTTTTTTTAAGTTCCAGATAGTCATTTTGGTAAGACACAAAGTGTTTTGAAACATTGTTTTACAATTCTTCTTCTTGTTAATAATGGGTCCTCTGTCTCTTGCACGTTTTGTGGGTATCTCTTGGACAAGACCATTCACGAAAACCCTTTTTTCTCCCCAAGTCATCCTCCAAAACATCTCAAATATAGTTTTCCTTTCTTCTTCTGAAACTTCGCTACATTTTAAAGCACTTTTATCAGTTGTCCTACATTTGCATCGAGGTTTAAGAACTCGTTTGTTTTTTTGTGTTCTTTCCCATTTCCCTTCAACTTTTTTACCCCCAGTATACTCTTGCCCATTTTCCCTGTGAAACTTGTTCATTTGATCTTTCCATGTAGCTTTATTTACATGACACCTTTTTTTCTTAATTCTCCTTGGTTCTTCTTCACTGTTAGAATCAGAGTCCTCAGAATAAGGTACAAGTTGTGTATTCATGCAGTCGCTATCATCACTTAAATATTTGTCAATCAAGATAGTATTGTTGTCTTCCTGTGCTGTACAATGGTACGTTGTAACTGGAGCTAAGGATTCTTCAGGAACAGATTTTAAGAAAACAGTCGAATCATTATCGAGACGCGCAACAGTCATAATTTCTTGTGTGTGAGCATTAGATGAGCAATTATATGTAGCGGCTCAGTATTGATGAACAGCTCTGTGGCAGCCTCAGATGTACCACTGGCAAGTGGCTAAATTTTCATGATATTTCTTATTAAAGTATAATAGGCATATATTCAATAGATTCTTTTGTGAGAATTAAGTAATTGTCATTGTTTTGCTTCAGCGCAGCTTCAACAAGTTTTTTTGTCCTCGACATCCTTTATCTGCAACAATAATCTTATTAACATCCAAACCGTTTATTTTGTATAATTTTAACACTATGAGCACGTTCAGATCTATGTATAACAATTTGCAGAGCAATAATATAGCAATTCTGAAGAGGAATATTTACCTTGAAAACTATATTTTTGCATTCAGTCGTAATTGTAGGTTACCTAACAGCGCAACCCGTGGGAATGAGAAGACAGGGTAGACCAAAGCTGAGGTGGATGGATGGGGTAACACAAGATGCGGAGAAGATCGGAGTCGGCAACTGGAAAATGCAAGCAAGGGACAGAACAGAATGGCGTAGAAAGCTTGAGAAGGTCGAGGCCCTCTGAGGGCTGTAGCACCAAGATGATGATGACGTAATCGTAGGTAGTCTATAAATTTGGGCACTGTTTTTGGAAATTCAAATGTGGAAAAAATTCAGTGTATACATAAGTCACATATATGTATGCTTTCTTCTTATATTTTTAAAATTGTACCTACTTTTTTTCTAAAAAAATACTTTACAGAACATCATATTTTTAAATAACTTTGAAATTTTGTATTAAACATAAAATATGTAGAATTTTTAAAAAGCAAGAAGAAGAAAAGTATAGAAAATTTATAGACTACGGGACTGTAAAATCACATAATTGGTATATTGGTAACTCAATTCACATAGTAAATAGTTACGTTAAAAATGGACAACTCCATCATCACATTTTTATATGTTATAACTAGGATATTTCTCACAAAAAGTTATATTATTGCATTAAAACTACTTACCGCCAGTCTTATACTCTGTATCGTTATCAAATCAGCTTTATTTTATGTTAATTCAGTTTTCTAAAGACAGTGCTCTTAAAAAGTGGCACTTTGTTACTCAATGTCAAGTACAAATAAACTGGCGGTTGACCTTGGAGTTAGTCACGTTTCGGTGTTGTTAGGCTAGTGTTAGCAGTTGACCGTTTTATGTGTTCGTCGTTTTCTCCGTAATTTTAAAAGCTAGGGAGATATTTTATGAACATAATGGTGTTAGCCGATTTGCAAGTTAAGCCATCGATTATAATGTTTTATATAGTAACACGTCGAGTGATAGCAACGTGGTATTATTTTTGCTTTCGTCTAATAATTGTCTTGGATTAAAATTATGCCTTCAGTGCGAAAGAGAAAACTGATGAAAAGCAATCCCTGCATATCTTTGTAAATTGCCAGTTTTAATCTAGCATGTGACCTAAATGACTAATATGAAGGTTACGTGGTCAATAAACCTGGCCCATCAGAAAGAGATGTAGAAACTGCTTTGCGTCAGTTTTCTCTGTCGCACTGGAGGAACGCGACTATTATGACAGCAGTCAATTATTTGCATTATATGTCTATGTAAAATACTTACTTTAAAACGAATAGTACTTTTAACCTCTTGAGGTTTGGAAACACTACCAGCACCACCTTGAAATTGTCGAAAATCAACTGAACTGTAATCGAAAGGTTTAAACTCTACTTCGTTGTTTTGATCATCGTGACCATTTTGAGGACGTGTTTGGTTTTGTTGGAATTTTTTCTTTTGTTTTTGTTTGTTTCTAAACCTTTGAGGCTTTTGTTTATTTTGCTTATCGGGTTGGTTAGTATGATTTTGACCATCCAATTGATTTTCTTCCTCACTTTCTTTCGTAAACCTATAATAAAAAATTATACTTCGTTACCAATTGTTCATTCATTTTCGAAGAAAAAGTTGTCGAAAATAGGCATCATATTTTCGACAAAAAGACCAACAGAAAAGTTTGTTTTTTAATTCACTTCCCAGGACATTTTAGGGGATAGTCTCATGCGGAACTTTCAAAAAATCAATTTTAATTTTTTTTTATAAATCGCTTCCATTTACATTCAAAAACTCCCTCCTAAAATTTTAAAAAGAAATTCCCACTAGAATATAAGTTATAGTTATTTTATTAACGTCATCTACGCACGTATGAAAACCGGTTTCTCTCCGCGCGGCGAGCGCGAGGCTCCAGCTGTTCTTGCTTTTGTATATATGTTGTATATACGTTGGGTATGTATTAGTGATTCATTTTTATATAGTATGTATATCTGTATAACGTTTGGCAGTTACTATACACATTTGGAAGTTTAAATCCGGAACATAGGATTTTTTACAAATACTAAGATTCTCTGCGTTGCAATTAACCAGTGTTTCTTTATAACGTCGCGATGTTTTATAACTAATTTATTTGTTCCACTGGATTTATAGTTCCACTTCTCCTCAGCGTTTTATAGTAGCGTATATGGTACGCCGACAGTGTTGCTCCGTCTACCGATTTTTTCCTGAAAGTCCGGTTTTGTGCGGATAATAAATAATGTTTTATTAACATCAATTTTGTTTGTGTTCAGTAGGTATTATTTGAGTTGTACAATTTATACTTAAATACATTTATTAATCCAAATATTGTTTATAATTTCAAATTAAAAAGAGTGTAATATTATTTTTAAAATTCCTTTTTATTTTTAATTTTAGAAATCAACTTTTTTTTCAAGCCGTTTTGGCAATAAAACAACCATTTTTTTAGTTATAAAATATTTTCATATCTACATTTATAAATAAGTACGTTTTCGTTGAATTGACATGCGATCTAGGTGTGTTCCGTTTTTACACTTACATTGGCAGCATCGCGGCGTGAATTGAGAGTGAGACTCCAGTCAAACAAATGAATTAATTATAAAACATCGCGACGTTGTATTGAAATTTACAGCTTTACAAAGCCATTTACAACAACTGTTGGATGAAGACGGTTCTCAATATTCACCAGGAATGGTCGATTAAATGTGAGTATAAAGTTATCAGCCTTTTATGCACGAAAATTATGTAAAAAAAGCTTTAAATGCATTTTTCTCAAAAGTAACATTTTCAAACTGGTCAGACACTTTTCTCCGAACCTACTTAACCGATTTTAAAAAACCAAAAATTTTTCGAATGTATATAGAAAGTACTAGATGATAAACCTTTAAAATATTTAAAAACCATCCCCCCTTTTATTATATATGGGTAAATCCACCGAAAAATATAGTGATTTTTCGACTTTTTTGAAAGAATTCGTATTAACTCTTCAAAATAATACAATTTGCATATTTTAAAGGTTTATCATCTAGTTTTGAGTCTCACGAATATAACCCATTTTGAATTTTTTGAACATCTGTTACAGGTGACCCACAAAGTGTCTTACCACCAAAAACGCACTTTTTACTACACGTCATCTACAGGACACCAATGAAGTTAAAATCGCTGTTAAAAATTTTTATTATGTACTTCAAGAATTACTTAATCATCTCCAAAAGAAATTATGTTAATAAATATTATAGTTTTTTTTTCTGCTTTAATTTTAAAATGCGTCTTTTTTTTTAATCGCATGAGACTGTCCCCTTTAGGCAAAGGACATTTATTTTTAATATCAATTTGTTCTTCGTATAGAATAGATGAAACCCCATTTTGCAAAATATAATTTACAATATCAGATTTATCAGTACACACTTAGATTACTACACAAATAATGACATTTAACAAAAATATAGGCTATTATGTTTCTTTTAAGTTGATAAGAAATAATTTCTTTCATGGTCTGTCCGCTAGACAATAAGTATTTTTGATATTGTTAATTTAACTAACGCGTTACTTTATGAACACACACAAAACTATTGTATTTTTGTCCACCCTATACCAATTTGAAACATGTGATACATTTTTGGAATCATCTCAGCTAGAGGAATCCGAAAATTGAGACAAAATGGGGGTGTTCCATTAAAAAAAAAATGACGGTGATGTTATTACTCGAAAGTAATTCACCCTGTATATTAGAATATTATTTTAAAATACGGTAAATTAAAATCAAAAATCGACGTGTTTCAGGATTATTTCTTAAAATGCTCTGTTTAGCTAAAAAAAAATTGATTTGTTCCATACTTTACGGACACAGTATATATATATATATATATATATATATATATATATATATATATATATATTATATATATATTGAGATAAATTAGCATAATAATATTATGATTTTTAATTAATAAACGTAATTAGTGATTAAAGAAATAATTTAAAAGTTATATACTAGAGAATATTATAAAAAATATTTATGAGGGTATTTTTAAGAATTTAGCAATTTATTATTTTATGTAATAATAGATATATTTAAGTGAGCCATGTACATAGGCAACCAAATATACACTGTATTATAATGACATGAGTGAATTTGAACTGAATAAGTGACAGTTGAAAAATGGGGTTATTTATTAATTTAAGATGTTTAGTTTATATAATAAGTGTATATTCTGATCTAAAAGCTTAAATGCCCATAAAATTCTCGATAGAAGAGCAAAGAATTCTCTAGAATATGTCAATAGAAAGAATTTAACCCTATTTGCGGGGTAGACTATTCGAGAACATTCAGATATTGATGAAATAGAACAAATTCGAACATGATTTATTGCTGGAATATTCGGGAAAGATGAAAAGATATAAATACGATGTAGTTTGGAGCAAGCATTCATTAAGACAGTTACAGTGAACAGTATGAGAGTAACAGTTAAACAGTGAGACAGTTAGAGTTTGAGAATAAAGACAGTTAGTTAGACAGTGCATTCATTAAGCAGTCAATAGTACAAGCAGATAGTATACAGCGGTCAGTATTATATAGAGTATTAATTATACAGTACAGTATGCAGTAATCAGTGATTCAAAGTTTTATAGAATTTGAAAATATATTAAATTTATAATATCTATATGATGATTGGAGATTATTAAGAAGAAAAAATAAAATTATAAGAAAGAAGCAAAGAAGAAACAATAAATAAAGAAGAATATTTTGCCCATTTATAAATGCTATTAAGAAGAAAATTAATTTAAATTGTTGGAAGCTGATAATTAAATCATTGTGGTATATTTGGAAAAAGAAATTTCACAAATTCAAGGATAACCGAGGCTGATTAAGAAGATATTGGGTGGTGATTATACCCTTTATTTTGGAAAACAATTTCATTTAGGCATTCAGTGATAGAAAGGTACCAAATTTGTTTAATATAATTTTTTTATTGTAAGAATTTCAAATTTAAGATAGGTTGTTCTAAATTTATATTGTCTATATTAGATATATATGTGTGTTTCATAATAGTTATAATAAAGATCATTTAAAAAGTACTTACAAACTAATTTTTTGAGAACCGCGATAAAAATCCTATACTTATATTTGTTATTTTAAATTATTCATTGCTCATACACAGACAATACCATAGACAATATATATATATATATATATATATATATATATATATATATATATATATATATATATATATATATATATATATATACACATATGTGTGTGTGTGTTTGTGCATAAACTAACCTTTGTTTTTGATTAGCTGCTCTCCTCTTCTGATTTTTATGTCTTATTTTAACTGGAGGCGCTCCATCGGCATTGTCACTAGATTTCCTTTTATGACTATTATTATCCCCTTTGTTATTAGTCATTTCAGTAGACATTGGTAAAAAGACCGGATGTACAGATGCAGATTGTTCTGTCACAGAGGGAGAATGCTCCCGTTTTCTTTTTGTGCCACCCATCTGTACCAAGGATAATTCTGGTTCTGAAGCTACAGGAGTGCTTTTTGAAAGTTTTAAAAAGTGTTGTCGAATCTGAAAATAAAATAAGTAATTGTCTATTAAACAATTAATGCTTTGATAGCAATGTTGCTGGTATTGATTGCTCCGGTGATAATTTTTGACAATAAATATTCATCAATACAAAAACAAAAGTGGGACATTTTTCAACTATAATTTCACAGTAAAATAAAAGCAATAAATGAAAATAAAGTAAAATTAATGCGATCGGAATAAAAATACGAACAATAAATAAATTCATCATAGCTCACTTTAAGTAAACAAAAATTTAATTAAACGAATGGGAAATATCAAGACAGAGTATAAAATATTCATCATTTTATTTGTTATCACTTTGGTTGTCAATTTTAGTGTTGTTTTTAATAAATTAATTCCCCTGTAATTTTCCGGGCGCGATTTGTCTTCCTTTTTGATGAGAGGTATTAGGATGCTTGATCTCCATTCTTTAGGAATTTTGTTTTGTTCTATTATTTTTTGGATTAGTTTTGATAGTTGTTTGGTTAGATCTGGTCCTCCGTACTTTAGGAGTTCGTTAGGTATTCTGTCCTCTCCTGGTGATATTCTATTTTTTTTAATTTCCTTAATGCTTCCTTTACCTCTTCCCCCTCAATATTGATTTCTTCGTTTGCCATCACCTGTGGTGTTAATGATACATTATCGTCACCTTTAGCAAATAGGGTTGAAAGTAGTCTGTTTCCTTCTGAATGTGTTTCGTTTTTATTAGTTCGTTTATCTCTTTTCTTTGTCCTCTGATCATCCTCCATATTTCTTTTTGTGTTCCGTAGAAGTCATGTTCCATCTGTTTTGAGAAACTCTGCCAGTGTTCCTTTTTTATTTGTCTAATTAAAGTATTCGTTTAATTTCTGATTCGTTTATAGTGGTTGTATGCCTGTTGTGTTTGTTGTGTTCTGTATTGTAAAAAGGCTATCTTCTTTTCTTCACATTTTGTCTTCACTTCCTCTTTAAACCATGGTGTTTTCTTTTTTGATATGTTAGTGTTCGTTACTTTCCTCTCTCCAGGTGATTCTGTTGTTGCGTTAATTATGTTATTTTTGAGTTTTTCCCAGCTTTCCTCGATGTTATCTATATGGGGTTGTTCTCAACCACTAACTTACATCTGAGCGGATCTTTTGCTATTGTCAGACATTTAGTTTTGTTGGCGGCTTATTTGAAAGAACTGAAAGAGCTGTCCCTGAAGATCATCTTCTGATTCGGCAATAATTGCTGCATCATCTGCGTAACACACCATACCAATTCTTTTGTTGCCCATTCTGTATCCGAGATTGAGATATGTTACTTTGTTTATAATTTTGCCCATGAGTAGGTTAAACAAGAAGGGGCTTAAACTGTCGCCTTGTCTAATTCCTCCCGGTGTTGGAATATTTTCAGTGAATTGGTCTCCTGCCCTAACTTTGGTTACATTGTTGTTATTTAGGTTATGGACTATCTTTATTATGTTGGTCGGTGTTTTATTTTCTATTAATATATTTTGAATGTCTCCCAGGCGAACCCCGTCAAATGCCTTCGTCAGATCAATGAAGCAAATATACGCTGGGATGCCGAACTCTATAGCTTTTTCTTTTATTTGTTTTATTATGAATACTGCATCTGTTCTACACCGGCCTCTTGTAAAACCTTGTTGTTATTCGGCATTAGTGATTTGCCTTTCCAATTTGTCCTTAAGAATACTCGTGAAAAGATTCATTGTTGTATTTAAGAGGGTTATACCCCTGTAGTTTTGGGGGCAAGTTTTTTGTCCTTTTTTAAATATGGGTATTGTGATGCTCTCATGCCATTCCTCTGGTGTTTCTGTGTCGTTTAAGATTTTGTTAAATAGTTGTGACAGTTTACTTGCAAGTTGTTCAGGGCCTCCATATTTTAAGAGTATATTGGGTATACCATCTGTTCCAGGTGATTTTCTGTTTTTTAGCTTCTTGATCTTTGCTTCTACCTCGTCGTCATTGATTGTGGCACTTATATCTGCTAATATTGCCATATCTGCTAAGTTGCCATGTCTCTATAAGTACTCCCTTGGTCTGCATGAACTCATTAACCGGTTTTTTCCTGTTCCGAAGCATTTTCCATACTTTCTTTTGAGCACCATGTAGGTCGTAGTCCATGTCGCTGGTGAATTTAGCCCAATATTCTCTTTTGATTGATTTTATGTTCCTGTTTGTCAATATTATTTATTTTCCTTTATTAATACACCTTTCACAAGCTTTTATCCTAAAATCTATTATTCTTTACATACGTTATTTCTTAGGATTAGTTTTCACCTCTAACTTTTAATAATCTTGAGTTTTTGTGGGATCAACTTTGTATATCTGTGTACTTTTCGTGTTTAGGTTATGAATTACTTATAATAAGAGTACTCACAGTTATGTAGTTGTTATTATTTATATCAACATTGAGGCACTATGTCACTGTGACCTTACGGGTAATTCATTTTATTTGATTGTAATATCTCGGGCTAAATATAAGCAAAAGAGAAAATTAGAGATTAGATCACAAGCAATTACAAATTAAATAAAAAAATATTCAGAAACAAAAGAAACCACGATAAGATAAAGACGATCAACAATTACTGAAATTTTAAATTAAAGAACAACTTGAATATTACGACTAGTCTTACCTCCTCAATTCTCTGCTCGTCAGTCATAGTAATAACTTCTTCTTGATTTTGATTTCCATTTTCAATATTTTCAGCTTCCGACGATTTTTCTTGTTCTGCTTGAATATAGCTTCTAACTAACTTATACCTCTCAAACGGTCTCAAAAATTTAAAGTTGATTTTATTTTTCTGTAAAAGAATTGAAGTGAAAATCCAAAACTTAATTCTATCTGCTTTCATTATAAAACAACGATAAAAAAATTAAGAACAAGCTATTTAAAAGTCATAAAATTTCTTACAAGAAGCAGTTTTGTATTTAAGTACCTAAAATTGGTACCTACTTTGAATTTACTACAATACATTCAAGCAACTTCCACCTCAAAACGATTAATGGAATTCGCAGAAAACCTTTAGTTGTGGTTAAAGTCACGGTAAACTGTACTGGACTTCTCCATAATCTTTTTAATTACTTACTTTGTTTAGAATATGTTTGCCTGTATTATAAGTTAGAGTTAATTTGTATAAAATGAGGAGCAAAAATTCAAATGGAATTTTAAATATTATTGTTTATTTGGCTAATAATGAATGTGTAAATATAATAAAATCCACAAGGAAAACAATTCCTAAATATAATGGTTAACCTGCTGTACAATTACTTTGTAAATAACATTATAATAGTGTACTTACTGATTATTTAAATTTATAAATCATCATCATCGTCACTAAATTCACTACCGCTATCATTATGTAAATCTATAACTCTGGATTAATTTCACTAATTTTATTTTCCCGGATCCACCACTCTTGTATTAATTTTTCACATTTATTTACCATTTTTCCCCTATGTCTGGAGTAGCAGTTTTAAGAGCTTCTTGCCACATTTCCCTAACTGCATCGTCACTGTATCCACTGCATGCAACGTGATTATCATAATACGTTTTTCATATACCCCAGATGTATTCGATGGGACTAAACTGGCAGTGATACGGAGGTAACCGTAGTGCTTGATGTCCATAACTTGATACCATTTGGTCAATTATATACACTGTTGGTTTTTCATTACGTTTCGAAATCTCTAGTAACTCTGATTTGAAGGCGTATTCCGGAAAATTGATAGTATTTTTAACTAACCAATTTTTTATGCTCGGTACGTTCCACGTCGGTTTTGGTTGTTTCTCCAAAATCTCCGAATGGTAAGGGACATTATCTAAAACTATAACTGATGGTTCACTCAGACTAGGTAACAGTTTCTCCTCAGGCCATTTAACAAACATATTTGCATTCATGTTTTCATGGTAATCAGCAAATTTTGATTTTGAAGAAAAAATCTGCGTTTTCTATAAAGCCTTCTTTCCCTCCTGCATGAAGAATTATGTGTTTTTTGCCTTCGCTATTTGTGTTTTATTGATTTTATGCTGTCATCTTGCCAAATTCTTTTAATTCTACCCTTTGCAAATATTCATGTCTCATCTAAGTATACGAATGTTGTATTTTCAGATTTAAGTCTAGTATATTCTCACAAAAATTTAATTCTTTTGTGAACCACACTACTCCTTTCACATAAAAGTAACCTATTATTTTCTTTTTTGAATTTAAATCCTAAATCACTTTCCAAAAATTAGTCCTCTTAATTTCAGTAACTTGTCTTTCTCTTATTTTGGTCAGTAAAGTATCTAAACTGACATGTCGAACTTTAACCCGTAATCGCAAACGTCTCAAAAACGGTACACTCTAACAGACATATATGGTCAATCTAACCACCACTATTTAAATTAAGAAAATGTTCTAGTTTACTTCGAAGTATTTTTTAAGAAAAATTGAAAGTGATATTTTAGTACTTTGTATATAACTACTTTAAATATAAATTATCCTTAGCACAGTTTAAAATTATTAAACAAGTAGGTGAAATAAATTTACGTTAAATAACATTATGTCAGAGTACTATTTATTGAAAAAAATATGTAACAAAATATGCAAAAATATGAACAATAATTTTATAATACTTTTATAGAAACTGTAATAATGTATTGTGGTAGTGCATAATCACAGAATAATAAACAATCAGAATGCCCACTCTCCATGGAAAATTAAGTACGCGCATCTCGATCGCACAGACGTTCCGCCATGTTTTAAAGGGAACCAGTGTTGTTTATGTGGTGTGCATAGAAAAATTAACCCGGTTTAATTTAATTGGCAATCATAGACATACTGTGTTAAGTGTTTCCTTCTAAAACATGGCGCGCGTGCTGAAAAACTTCAAAAGCGGCATCTGAGAGTGGGCATTCTGATTGTTTATTATTCTGTGGCATAATATTGATTTCTTGTTCTCAACGTAGTTGCAGTAGCAGAAGCAATGTTAATAAAAAATCTTCATGAATAAAGTTCCACAGGTTAGTATACAAATATGTAAACAAAGTAATGGCCCGTACTTCAGAGAATAAATTAATAGTATTCGACTGCATTAATTTATCTTTATGTATAATATATCGTGTTTTTAGTGTTTACCGCGATATAAATAAATCATAGTTTATTAAAAATGTATTGCACTTTCTTAGATTATGATTAATTCTTCTGAATAACTAGTCGTATTTGTATAGTAGTTTTGTTTGTTTTCGGCCGGCCCTGATACCACCACCATATTCTTATCATCGTAAGCCACGCCTACCTACGCCGTTTTTAATGCATACGTTAATATACTCATAGCTTCTCCATATATTTTAACTCGATGGATTGGACAAACCTCGATGCCCATGCACTCTTTAGAGCTCACAAGATAGAGAGGTGTATGCAAGAATTGTCGCCAACATCCACTAATTTAATAGGGCGCCATAAGAAAAAGAAGTTAAACATTATGGAGAACACCAGTGCAGTGTACCGTGCCATTTACTACAACTAAACGTTTTTTTGCGAATTCCGTTAATCGGTTAGAGGTGTAAGTTCGTTTAATGTACTGTAGTAAATGTTATTTCTATAAAAATTTTAATATTAAGTATAAAATTACTTATACAGTTTGCATTTACATTAAAAATTAAACCGATATATACATAATAAACAAAAATAGTTACCTGCTCTTCATCATCCGAATTATCTGGGGTTAAGAATACAGAACATATTGGTTTATCAGTTTCATTCTCTAACTTTCCATTTGACAAGTTCATTAAACTTGGACTATTATTTCCCAAAAGAGTCGGCAAATCATCTCGAAATTCATTTGCTTTTGTCAAATCATGTGGACAATTTAACGGACTATCCACATTTATTTTTGATATTTTCTTGGTGCTTCCTCTTGCCCTAGTATCTTCCTTAAATATTGGCTAAGGCAAAATATAAATCGAAAATTAAGTAGAAATATATTTCTAGTCTTTCTCACTCATATATATATATATATATATATATATATATATATATATATATATATATATATATATATACAAAGGGTTGCAGTCAGAATATAGAATATAGAAAATAAGTCAGAAGAGAAAAAACACTCTAATAAGACAAAAATGTAAAATTTAAAAAATATCACAATTCTTCAGTGTAACTTACTAGTCGTTGGGATTATTTATATAAGCATTGACACTCAACATTTATAACACACATTAAAACATTAAAATATACAATTATGGACAGAATACATTATCAATCTGTGTAACCCTAATAAACTGTGTTATTTGTTTATCTCGACAGTCAATAATATCCAGTATTTCTTGTTATATATATATATATATATTATATATATATATATATTATATATATATATATATATATATATATATATATATATAGGGAGAGAGAAAGATGAGAGAGAGCGAGAGAAAGTTTTTTTAATTCCTGGTTTGTCAGTCTGTTATAAATAAAACACATAATTTTTCCCATAAGTCCTTATTTTTACACAAAATTAAATGGATATGGAATAAGAGAAAAAGTATAAATGGGATCGGTAATATTGATGCAATTTTTGTTTTCGAAATGAAAAATATGTAAAATGTCATATTTTGAAGATAATAATACTAGAAATATTTTACATATATAAATAATAAACATATTTTTATTGACATACCTTCTCTAACGGTTGTTCTTTGGCTCTTAAGATAATCTGATGTATCTCCAATAAGTTTGATCTTACTAGTGGAGGAATTGGATTGCAACAAGCCAAAACTCCCTGCATCTCCCTAGGTAACGTTTCGGCTATTTGAAGCAACATATGATTTGGTAGAACATATCTAAAAATAAATAATATGTAAAAAGTACTTAACATTAACGATGAAAAAATGTTTGAGCAATTTAGTTACTAGATTTCGATAAATTTGTTGTTCTAATCATAGCAGACTAAACTAATTAAAATTTTTTTTAATTCTTTTAATTTTATAATACTATTAAACGTAATCTACTACCAAATTATTATTGAGAACATCCCCATTTCTAAAAAAATTTAATACTCTAAAATATAGAGACTACTATTATTTCAGTATTTATCTTTTTTTTTTAATACTTACTCTGCCCTGATCTTTTATCAGTGAAAAATTATGTTAAAGTTCAAATGATTAAAATTTCTATTTAAAAACAATCTATCTTCCAAAAAAAAAACTAAAAAAAAATTATTTTAAAAACTTGGTCAAAGTAACTATTTAGTACAACCAAATAATTGGTTTAATAAATTAAAACAAACATCATATATACGTATATCTTAAATTGCAAATTACTTTGATAGAAGGAATAAATTAGTAAAACAAAGATATAAACAGTAAAATAATTGTAATTTATTTATTTGGTTTTAAAATTAGATTCAATATTTATAAAATCAGAAATATGCTTAGTTTTTATTTATTTCTTTTTTTAGTAGGTTGTACAATTTGGTTGATGATGGTTTGCATGAATGATGAAACCTTAGATATTATAGTAGACTTATTTAACTCAGTATACAAAACAGGGCACATACCGAAACAATGGTTACTCTCCACGTTTTGTGCTATCCCTAAAAATACAAACGCTAAATATTTTCTTTTGTTGGGTCGTGTACTTTTGGGACCACCCTTTTTTAATGCTATTCTATATAATTTTAGTTGAATATAGATAGTTTTCATTGGAATCATAAATATCCAATAAGCGTTTTTTTAGCATGTCTGGTATGATTTCATTTACGGCATTAATTATTGTTTGTTTCAGATCCTCAATATTATGATACTCGATATAAATCGTTCTCCCAATACGATTTTAAGAACGATTTCCGAAGTGGAAATCGAAACGTCAAAATAGACCTATTTTAAAATCAAAATAAACCTATTTTAAAGTAAAATGGTGGCTTATTCCCAATAAAAATGTCAAACTAAAGAAATTATGGTCAGTAGATTTGATAAATTAACTAATAGGAGTGGATAGTTTTTCTTTTATTATACAACACTCACAACTATTACAGGTTACCTACAATGTGCATTACATTACAAATACATACCCTTTAGATTCATCTTCCTCCCTAGCTAGTTCGTCTCTCCATTTGTAAAGTTCTTTTAGGGCATAGAGTTGTCTATTATCAAAATGTCTTTTACACTTTCTGTAGAAATCTAAATGGCTGTCATCTCGAAGTACAGGCCTGAAATATCTCTAAAAAAATGCCGAACATTATAATAGAATCCATTATAATCCATAAAACAGAACAATATTTATTTTAAAAGAAAACTTCAAGTTTTCAAAAAAATCTTTTAGTGGATTTATAGCTACTGCAAAGTCATTCATGTTCTATGAATTTCAGAAATAAAATCACTTACAACTAACAGATATAACTGCAACGTTCAAGGTAACTTCATCGATAAACGGAGAAGCCGATAGTCAGTTGTATGCAAGCTCCCGAAGCGTAAACACCCTTATACTTACCATTGAACATCATTTTTAGTACGTTTGCTACGTTGTCAGATAACTTCGTAATTCGTGAAATAGTTATTGTTTGTTCAATTTTCATATTAAAAACTAAGAGGTGAAATAATTTTTTATTAAAATGATTCGCGTAAGTGCCGTAAAAAATCGGATTCTGAGTGCATAAGCTCGGTAATAATTATATACTCGGTTTTAAAATTTACGCAACAGGAAGCAGGAGGAAATCCACTAAGAAACTAAGTTCCTGTAGCTGGCTGTATACCATGTATCACAAAATTTTTTTATTTAGAATCCTTTATAAAGGGTATATAATAAAATACCCAAACGGGCTATATCACAATTACATTACAGAACGTTTTCATCAGTGTAATATCAGTGTAATAACCACTTTAATTAAAAAGAACGTAAAATTTGAAATGTTGACTAAGGTTAATGCAAAATGTGGTTAATACTTACAAAGTATACATGCTATGAGCCACTAAAATATATGGGTAAAAACCCGTTAAATGTTGATAATTTAGTTTTTCTTACATTATATATTATTAAAAATTAAGATGTTCAAGTTACCGTTGGAATTGGTAACATGGCGACGTATGACTCTTCATAAGGTTACTTGGTCTTGAGACAAAGTTTCTTCGAGGACCTGTTGATAACAACTGATAAAAATGACAACATTGACATGTTAGGACGGATGTCGGAACAAAGTAGTCAGTGCAACTTACGGTAGTTGTCTAAATATGACAGAAGCCAGCATTATTTAAAATTGAATAAGTTAAAATTATAATAATATAACAGTAGCAACCAACAATGTTGTAGATTGTAATGTGAATTTGTCCTATATTTATATTGAGAACATTGAAAAAATTGTTTTATAAATTAATGTAGGTAGACTAAAGTACGGCGAAATTTTGTAGGTATCGATAGGCAACCAACATATATGTATAGTTATGAGCATTATTTATTTTATGAGAAATATAGTTTTTCAGTATTATTAAGTAGGTAAGTCTAAAACTGGATTCGAATTAATTTATAAGGCCATTTAATAAAAAACCAGAGTCAAGAAAATTATTTGTTAACAATTTGATCATATGAGGTGTGTCCGCAAAAACATAAACTTGGTATCCAATGTTTTCCAATTTCGTTATAATTTCGAACAATCTGTGTTTTGTGATTTTACAAGCATAATTATAAAATATAAACACAACAACATGAACACTTTCTGTGAAGTGTTTCTGTGAAGACATGAAGTCTTTGATTTACGTCACATACAGATTGAACGAATTTAAAACGGATCATACAATTTAATATATGTCTGTTTGAACTGCATTTGAAATAGTGGACCAATATAAAACTTGACAAAAATAAATCCATACCCGGTGTTAGACATTGTATAAAATATCGTTCAACTATCTGTCTCCTCTTAGAACCGACCATAGTCTAGAGCGCAGCTCAAAGTCAATGTTGCCAATCGCCGTGTAATAATCCGAATTGCGGATCTTTTTGAGAGTTATATCTTCTTCGTATCTTTAAATAAATCGGATATTTGCCTATATTTTTCATTGTATTTACCAATCTACTACAACAGACTAATAACAAAAATAAACTTAATGGTTTGTAGTTATTTCAAAAGTTTGTAGTTATTTTAGAAACATCTAGTGGAATGATATTGACAACACCGCTCAAAATCTCCATCTCCGATAAACGAAAGAGCCTAAAGGCGCCCACTCACGATACTTTAACTACACACTTGCTTTGATCATATTATAGAAAATCGAAATGGCTTGATTTAACGAGAATTTTTTAAGAGAGTTTTTTAAATTATATAAAAAACAAGAATACTTATAGCGAATAAAAGGTAGAACGTATCACGATAGAACGCCCGAAAACAGGCAATGGATATTCTAGTTTTAAAGTTCCAAGAAGTAAACAAAGATGCGAATGAAGAGTATGTAAGAAAAAAAATTAACAATTTTAGAACATCCTATAAAAGAGAATTAAAATTAGCAGAGCAGTCCAGTAAATCGGGTGCAGGGGCAGACGAGATTTATTTTGCACCAAAATCTTGGATTCTTTGCACCAGAATCTACGTTTTATTTTAGGTTTCTTTTTACGCTTAGTTATACACAAAGTAAGAGATGCTAAAATGATTGTTTGATTTGACATGGTCGAGAACCGAACAAATACTGCGGAGCAGTATGGTGTGTGGGCGCACCAGATATACCAACAAATTGAACAACGCCTCTGTCCGAGTATGTCGAACGACACCGCTGTACCGTGAGTGGCCGGCTTTAGGAAGCGATAGGTTAGGTATCTATAGGTATCTAGCGATAGTTCTTAAATTAGTTCAGAATCCAGCAGCCCGCTGAAGTATTGGATTTTTATAATATAATGATTTGACAACCTTTTGTTGGCCAACCACCTACATCAGAATTGAGCCGAAATACATAATATTTCGTATGTTCCGAATTTATTTCGTTCAATTTGTATGTGCGAGAGAGAGAGAGATCAAAGAACATGCGCGTTGACTTATCTTGTTGTTATAGTATCATGTATACAGCTATAAGAGAAGCCAAGCGAGACACGTGGAGGAAGCACTGTGAGGAAATTAAAAGCACTCATGTTTGTGCTAGACTTTGTGCTAAAAGGTGCTCTCAAAGGAGAAAACACAACCAATTAACTTACTCCTAAATGACAAGGGCGAGTATACTAATACCGGAAGAGACACGGCTGAAGAGCTGTTCATGGTGCGCTTCCCTGGATCACAAATATAATCACCAATTGACTGGGAATTAGTAGGTAACGAGGCTCTGCAGAGGTCCTCCATATGTAAAATTTTCATATGTGTAAAAATTTGAATGATTTTACTGTTTTTGTCAGTTTTTTATATAAAATATATAATCTCCTATAATTTTAAGTAACAGTAGGCCCATATCGGTTTCTTAACACGGTTTTGAAACTATTTTCTTGCGGCATTTCTATATTATGTACTATGTTTTAAAGGAATTAAGCACAATTTTAATTGAAATAACGTTTATTTTGACGTTTTGATTTCCACTAAGGAAATCGTTCGCAAAACACGATTTCCGAAGTGGCAAACGTTGAAACACAATTCCAAAAGTCATAGAACTCAACGATCATGTATAAACAGAAATGCTTGATAAGGAGAATAAGATTATATTGCAAATGTGATAGCATGGACTCACAGAGGATTTAACAAATTTTATTATTTTAGTTGCAATGTCTTAACTAAGAAACCCAAAGATTATTATATTCCATTAGTACAATATAAAAAAATATATAACATTACCTGTTTGCAAGTCTCTGTACTCTTATTTATTACAGCAAGTAATAGGTTATCGGAACCATTGGCCTTATTTAACAAATCATTTTTCAACATTTGATATATATAAATTAAATGGTGCGTATCCTCTCTAGCATAGTTCTTCAGTTCAACGGGCAAAGGTCGTATCCGCCAATCAGCTAACTGAAATTGTTTGTTGGGGACAAAACTGCAGTACCTCTGCATTAGATACGCCAAAGAGAGGCCGGAAAACTCTAATTGTTTTGCGGCGTGATAGGTATCAAACATATTGACGACATATATTGATAGATCTCTTTGTAGCCACTGAATATCTGATTCGGCTCCATGGAAAATCTGTAAAGAATAAATAGATTATTTATACATATATATATATATATATATATATATATATATATATATATATATATATATATATATATATATATATATATATATATTAATAACATAATAACAATAATAACAACAAGTTGCACGATAGCCTGGTAAGTGAAATGGCAGGTGCCGTACTACAAGGGTTTAATGGGACAAACCCACTTAGCAGACCACCGCTACCAAAAATAAACTCTTGTAAGAAACTAGGTGTGCTGTTACAAATTGTGAATACCGAAGTCCTACCCAATTATATCGTGGAAGCCCAGATATTATAATATATTGATTTATTATGCAGCAACAGCAATTGCTAATGTTATGAGCATTAAGATCAGAATACAACGGGGTATTAATATCGAAAGGAATGATAGCAGAATTGCACCTTGGGAAAAACGGCTGTTAGGGAAAATTAAATCATTGCGTAGGGACATTGAACAAATAACGGAATACATTAAAGGAATAAGAATTTTAAAAAATCATCAAGAGAGCTGAAGAGAAAATTTTACTCCACAACTTCAACATTTTATTGTATTTATCACTGTCGATCGAGAAGAAACGGACAAAGGGACATTACAAAATGATTCGATCCTCATAACTAAGTTCGAATATGTTCACTAATCTTTAAAAAAATTTATAAATTTTATAAATTAAATTCTATAAATTAAAATAATTCTAAAATTATTGTTAGGAAATTTCTAAGCAGTTAGTAATACCACGTAAAAATATCATTGATGACGTGGTACAGAATTAACGAAATAATAAATATATATTTACAATTTTTCTACACATTACCTTAACAATTGTTGGCTTGGTGAATACCTCATTAAGAATCCATAACTTATCTCTTAATGCCAATGCATCTATTATATAATCTTTCTCTCTAGTGGAAATTTGTATCAAACAAGTAATACCCATAAAACTTCTATATGAATGATGTTCGACATCTACAGCAAATTCCTGACAGTTTAATAAAGTTTCTACCAATTCATCCAATTGTCTCTCTTCCGTAATTTCTATTAAGGGTGTGTCTTCAACAGGTAGTGGTTTTACAGGAATTTCTTTCTTTAACTGTATTGGCAATGGTGTGAATCTATCCAATTCAAATTCATAAGGATGAGAATATCTAAAAATTAAATTTTTTATAATAAAGCCATAAATAAATTAGTAAAAGTAAGAAATAATTATCAGGCAATACACATTGGTCTAAAATAGTATATATTGAAAACAATGAAAAAGGTAGTTCATCTATGGATGTCATCATGAACTGTCAGTTGCCAAGTTCTCTGCAAATATCTAAAAGTAAGATTTAGTAGGCATGTTTGAGGATTTAATAAAGACTGATTCCATCATTAGCGGGTATTGTCACCATTATTATGGAATATAGTTGTTGATGACCTGCTTCATGGGGTTAGCAGCCAAGGAATCTCCCAAAACCGAGGAGGAAGGCCCTTCATTCACAAGACAGCTCACCTGAGCAGATATAAAGAGTCTGTTGAGGGTGGCATGTGCAAACAGGACAGTCCCTGTCGAGGCGCTGGGAGTTATCACCGGGTGTATTCCGATGCACGTGCTAGTTAAACGAAGAGGAAAAGTATAAGGGAGAAGAAATAAAGACGTAGCAAGAGAACATTTAAAAGAAGAAAGGAGAGCTTCATTATGGTGTGGCAAGAGGAATAGGATGAGATGAGGAGGGTGGCGCAGTGGACTAAATCTAATCTGAGAAGATGGATGGACTGTGCATCGGCATCGGTGTTTGGATCACTTCCTGACGCAGATACTCACAGTTCATGATTAATTCAGGGCATACCTTTACAGATTTGGAAAGACATAAAATGACAAATGCTTGTACTGTGAACTATCTGACAATGTCTCACATAACTTATTAAGCTGTTTGTTCGGGCTGTTGGGTCGTTGTCTTCTGAGATTAGTTCTTGACGTTTCGCCAACACTGGGGGTTGACATCTTCTGGAGATGTTACTACTTCACTTGTAAGTAGAAACTCATCGAGAACTAATCTCAGAAGACAATGGCCTAACAGCCCGAACAAACAGCTTAACAAATTAGACGATGGCCGTGAAATCCTAACGCATTTTATCAATGTCTCACATACTCTATTGGTATGCGATAGATGGATAGCTGAGAGGAGCCTGCTTGAGAGAGAGATCTAGGAAGTAGGATGCAATCAGTCACCAAACTGATGGAGGAGATGATTAGGTCGTCAGATCGACGGAGAGCTCCAACATTGGAGAGAAAGGAACAAAATGAAAGGCGACCCGAAGGTAGACAGGGTGCTCAGGGGCAAGCAAGAAGATAAGGTAGAATGAGAGGTGGCGATATTGAACATGAAGGGAAGAGATCGGATGAATGCCGTGCCGTCGTTGTGTCTCAATCAGGACGGTCTGGCAGGTAGTTAAAAAAACCCACTCATCAAATAAAAACTGGTGAGTAAGCAAAGATATCCTCAACAACCTGGCAAAAGATAATAAACTGTCTTTAATATGGGTACCAGATCATAACGGGGTGCATGGGAATGAACGAGCAGATTTTTTGGGAAAACAAGGCTCAAGAGAAACCTTTGTAGGCCTAGAACCACTCCATGGCATCAATAAAGATGCAACAAAAAACAAGGTTCAGTAGTGGCTGATAATGAATCATTAAAAAAATGGAGAGCCACTCAAAGGCAAATCCACGCAAATAATCAAGAATATTAAACGAGAGATTAAAACGGTGACCAAAATGGTGACTGGATATATTAGTTAAAGAAAACACCTACACAAAATAAGTAAGATGAATGAACCATTGTGCAGATAATGCAAAATAGAAGAAGAGTCTGCCATACACATCCTATGCCATTGTAATGTGCTAAGTGATGTGATGCAGGAATTCACTGTATCTAAACTGTTCTGAGATTGTTCAAAACAATTTCTAGTGGAAATCAAAATGTAAAATAAAATTATTTTAAACTAATCATCATCATCTTTGGCTCTACAACCCTGGGTGAGTCTTGACCTGTTCAAGAATTAGTCTCCATTCCCCCTATCTTTCGCCCTGGCTTTCCAATTTCTGATCCCTAGATTCCTCAAGTCATCTTCAACTTGAGTTTTGAATCAAGATCTTGGCCTGCCTCTCTTCCTGGTTCCTATTGGTTCTTGATAGAATATCTGTCTTTGAGGGTCTACAGTGTCCATTCTTTCAAGGTGTCCTAGCCACCTTAGTCTAATAATTTTAATAGACCGGACGATGTTGCATTTTTAAATATTAAAGTTAGTTAAAGTTTAAAATAAAAAAAAAATTAAATTATTTTACAGTACAATTATAGCTTATTTCCAATAAAAATAGTAAATTGCATTAAGATACCACAAGAAAATACCTTCAGATGAAATTTTCTTAAAATGAAGGATGAGATGCCTTGTTGAAAGTATAAGGAATATTAAAAGTTCAAAACAAGCGGCTTTGGAAGAATTGTCACCTGAACTAGAAGCTCATTCCGGTAAAGACTGTATTTTAATACACATGTAGGTACACTGATACCAGGTTTTTGTACGGTGCTCTTAATGTGTGCATATCACATAAAACTGGACATCTTTATTGATGTCTTAACTGAAAAATAATTGGTTACATTAAAAATGTATATACAGGATTAGTTGCCCCTAACGGGACGGAAGATTACAGCAAAAGGGTAAAATACTAAAGAACAATTACATTAATAGTTTGTAGGTTAATAAAAGTTACATTTTAAAATTATTTTTAAATATATGGGGTGTACCAATAATTCGCGGGTATCCAAGTTATATTTTTTCTTATGGGACATTACAAAAGAGTCATTCTAAACTTATTTAAGCAATTATACCAAATGAGGCGCTCCGTGGACAAACGGCGAATACGCCAAATGGGCATTTTGAGAAAAACGCGATTAAAGTTGAAAAAGTGTTTTTAATTCAATAAGGGCGAATATACACGTCATCAAAATTTTGTAATGCGGTTAGGTAAAAACTATTTTTTTTATAAAAAGTTTTACTTGTTAAGCAAATAAGATCACCCCATCTAAACCAAAATTATAATTCAGGATATTGAAAAAAGTTTTATTCAAAGGATATGATATGAAAAACATTTTTTAATTAAAAATTGTTCTCTTTAAGATAAATCAAAAACTAAAAAAACACCAAACAATAAATTATTAATTCAAGCAAAAATCCATAACATCATCCTGACTTTCTCCAGTTAGCGTTGCCAAATTGGTTTGTGATTCTTGGAGAGAGATCAGCTCATCAAAGAAACTCCTATGATGAAGCGGTATGTATGGAAGAAGTGACTTGATGTCTTTTATTTTTTCCTCTGAAAGTTTTATAGGCTGTTGGTATTTAGGAGACAAAACTGCGGCAGATAAATCAAACAAATGGCGTTGATATTCTCCTACTTTTCTTTTCTGCAAAACAACTTGTTCGGACAAAACATTTTGGTGCGTTGGTTGTATGGAAAACCCTTGTTTGAACAACTTGGAGTAAAGAAATACTTTACCATCTTTAAAACTAGCAGTTGATTTTCTTTTTGTAATTAACTTCTGAAGAGCAGTGAAATCAAAAAACATTGATGATGTCATTTTTACTACTTTGAATGGTCTGACCTTCCTTGATAAACGAATTAAGTCAATACAGTGGTCTTCAGAATAAACATCAATATTTCGAAGCCTTAACTAAATGTGACCAAAATCCCTGTCACAAGGTAAATATGAATGTCCAGGAATCATAAAGTAATGTTCTATGAAATCAAATTTGAATTCATGAATTTTTTTCAAACAAGCTAAAACAATGTTCATATTTTTGTTCTGGCCGCCACAATTGTCACTAAATAGCACAACTTTTTTGACTTGATGATCCATAGATTCAAAGTAATGGGACATGCAGCTTGCTATTTCACATGAACCACGACCTCCAGTACTTTCATTCCACATGTACATAACACATTTTCCAGATTTAACATCATGGACTGCAAAATTGTAGGTCCAAAGCTTCCTTTTGTAATACTGTACAGATGTCGTGAGTTTAGGGGTAGGGAGAGTTTGCTACAGATCTATACAAATTGCTGAAACTGAGTCTTCATTATTACTTTTATAACTTTTAAGTATTTTTTGAACTGCTTTGGCTCGTCTTAAATGAAGTTCCTTGGCAACTTGTAATTGGTTACGTTGTAAATCATCACAATTTGAAAGTTCCATATCTGTTTTGTCACAAAAATTACAAGTATCCGACTTAGTAGGGTTGAAACCAATATTGAATTTTTTATTAAATGTGTCACGATAGAATCGTGAGCTGACAGGTTCAATTAAAGGGTGATTTTCTGTCATCCACTCACAGTACAGGTCATACAACTTGTTTATGTTTAAGTCTGTGGAAAGGTACTTTCGGTAAGGGCTTTTTGCTCTGCTGTAATGGCTTGAACATTTGGGTAAACTATTTACATGTAACATTACAGTTTCTTTCATTTCTACACTTACTTTGTTAACTGGATTTTTATTTCCTCTTCTGTCCAATTCTACAGTGCCACTTGTGGATACTTTATTCAAAACAGTTCGAACCCTCTTTTCAGTGACACCATGAATCGCATAGAATGCTTTTCTGCAGACTTTAAATTCATTGCTTTCAAAAAGTACACTGTACTCAATACTACGTAACTTTCGACTAGGTTGATTTTTAATGCGACAACGGTTGACAGAAACAGATTTCACTCTTTTAGATAAGTAAGTGTTTTGTAGGTTATACTCAGATAATTCCCAAAAGTTTTTAAAAATTATACTAATTTTCTCCAAACCTACTTTCTCAAAACATCCACAGGAACAGGGACTTCCCACAGTTCGCTTAGGCACAAGTTTTCTGTTTTTAATGGTGCTGTATTCTTCACCTTAGTTTCTTTTTACTTTATTCACATTCTTTTGCCACGTGTCTTCAGTTTTCGACCTTTTTCTAGTGTAGCCTTTGTGTTGGTCTTCTGTAAACTCGCTTTCTGACATTGTAGCAGTAAAATTTTAACTTTATTAGTAAAGTAACTCAAACTATTCAAACTAATCAAAATAAAAACTACTTGTTTTGACAAGCAAAACGACACTGTAGCTTAAAACTTAAAACGGTAAAAATAAGACGGAAATCACGGAAATTTTATTCAGAAATTTGGCAAGACAGAAGTGGGAGGGCTAGCTGTGTACCGACGTAGCGGTGGCGTATTCGCCGTTGTTCCACGGAACATTTACCATACTTTTTAAGATTCATACAGTTTGCTTCCGTTAAGTCAACCTATTATAGTTCTGAATAGAAAGGACGAATAAACCATGTTATGGTGGTACATTGTTCGAATAATGATCAGGCTATCCATTGCATTAAAAAAAAACTGTAACTGGCGTATTCGCCCTTTTTCCTCGGAGCGCCTCAAATGTTCTCTTGTGTTTAAATAGTTGGATATTTGTTAAATCTATTCTATGATTGAGTATTAAACATATATTTACAGAGTGTTCAAAATTTACAAATCCATTATTGCATTATTCAATCTATTATATGTGGCTTATTTTATTGTTAATTAAACACAATAAAACAAATAAACAAATGAAGATGAAACGGCATACCAAACACAACTTTTTAATTGGGTGATGAGAAAGTATTATCAAAACATGATATTAAGGGTGTTCCACTACTCAATATGTTATAAAGAAAGAAGGCAAAATGCAGGATTCAGAAGTTTTAATAGAACCGTTCGCCATTATCACTCGGGAGAACATAAGTAATAGTGTCAGAAATTATATATTATTTTATTCTAGTAATAGGTAATGATTAAAATATAAGTTTGACTTACTCCTCTCCTCTTTCAGTCTCTTCCAGAAAGATAGCTAAAGGTTTTATTGAATTAGGTTTGATTTTAATCCTTGGTTCCCAAGGAAATTTACTACTATTAATAATTTTATCCCTAAAGAATTTTTGTGGTCTAATTACATTTTTAGCAGCAATCAATGTAACAGTGTTCTTAGGATCTTGTGAGGTAACCTGAGATAAAAATATAATGTTAGTATTTTTAACATTTTTCATATTGTATGACAAGAAAACTCCCATTTTCTGCCTCCTTGCAGATTTTTCGACATTTTTTTAAGAGCTAGGTTAGGTTAGGTTAGGTATTTTTGTCTATGTTTTACATGTATATACTAGTGTCTTGATATTAATTTAGATTTATACATTAATTTATTTTCATTACAGAAAAGTGTAATATTTTATACACACTAGATCAGTGGTCGCCAACCTCTTCAATGTGTTGAGCTACTTTGTTAATTTTGGAATAAACAGCGAGCTACCCACACAGAAGCCAACGCAATTTAAGGTAATGGAGTGACGCAAATTCACACTGAATGCGTGAAAACCATACCAAACCACAAAAATTAAATGTATGATCAGGTATAGTAGGTACTAAGTCAATTGGGTCATTTTTTATCGAAGGAAATTTAACGTCAGATAGTTGGTGTAAATGTTCGGCGTTATTTAAATGAGATATTTTCCGTACGATAAATTGGTAGACAAGGTAGAATTGAATGGCCTCCACATTCACCCGATTTCAATCCTAAAGATTATTTTTATTAGGGATACTTGAAAAATTCAGTTTACAAAACTTAACCAGCCAAGTCTTGCAGAGCAAAGGCAACGAATTATCGATTAATCTCAAATAATTTCTAGACAATTATGAAGAAATGTGGTAGACGCATTCTACCATCGATTAGGGTACTGTCAACTCACAAATTGAGCATATTTTGAACACTTAATAACGTAACTATTGTTAAAAAATGGTCTAATCTATCAATTGTTTACGTTTTAATGTACTTGAAATTAATTAGTATAAAAAAATTTATTGAAACAATTAGGAGTTGGCAGACTTCTGTTTTATGTATTTAAGACCTTCCAGACTATAAAAAATCATAAGTGTTACATATAGTTGAACTCGTATTTAATAGAAGATTCTAATAATGACTGAATATACAGGGTGATGCATTTGAAAAACCAAAGTTACTAATAATATCAGAGAAACAGCAAATCTGGCAACATTGCAAATATCAAATATGGAATCTCGGTATCAGAAATAGGTGTACCTCAAATTTTGTACAATTATAACTAGCAATTTACGAGATAATTGACAGTTTCCAGACTTTTGGGCCACTCTGTATTTACATTGGTGTTGTTTGTGTCACATGAATGCATGAAATTCCAAGCATGTGGAGATAGCATAATGTCTCCAAAGGTAATGTTTGGTTTGATATTTCCTCTTTTGAAGTCCAGACTTATAATACATATAAAAAAGTTAAAGACATACCATATTAAGACTTGTTTTCTTATATCAATGTCCAAGTGCCTATGATCTATCTTTGAAAACAGTTTTAGTCTAAGTAACAACTATTCTCCTGTCAATGATCCCATTCTGCTGATTACAAAGTTTCATTATTTCCTCTAAATAGTATTTTAATTCATTGTTTATACTTACAGTCCCTGCTCAAATTATTAAACTCATTGTAGAAATTTCAATTTTTTAAATTGCAAACAGTAAACTTAAAAGTATCTTCAGTGGTACAGAGCTGCTGAATGAGTACTGTCTTAAGATTTAGATAGGTAATTAAATGTAAAGATCTTTCTGTTGAATAAATCTCTTTTATTACTGCTCCATTAGAAAATACCACATTTAGTCAAGGAGAAACAGTAAGAAAATGTGGTTATCTCAATTGTCAGTTCAAAATTTAAGTTAAGAACTTAAAGAGAAACACCCTGATTGAAGTGGCAGAAAACTTCCAGTCACCCCAGATGGCAGCACAGTTTAAGGAATTTGACTGTAAAACTTAAAAGATCCACCCATAGAGAAATGAGGAATAAATTGTAAGAAGCAGGGTGTTGAGTATCAAAGGTGACTGTAAGCCGAAATTTGTACAGCATGGGGTTCAAATGTAGCAGACATTTCTCATCTCTTATTCAAAGTTTTGAATGTATCAAAGTAATTATAGTAGTGTTTGTATAAATATTTCTTTTTAAATTTGACCCACATAGCCTTCACTCAGGGTCTGTAATTGTATATTTAGCAGTTTTTATAAGTGACATTAGTACTTACATGGAATAAATAAATAAATAAACTGACTCAAAATGAGTGAAATTGTATATCAATCTACACAAAATTACATGAAGAGTTCAAATATATTCCAATTGCTTGTTTTTAGTAAGTACTACAGTGATTTTGACAATAAAAATAATGAAAAATCAGCCCTCTTAGCACTTTTCTGGCTAAACTAAAAACATGGGTATTTCCAACTATCCCTAATAATATGGAGTTTTCTCTCATTAGTTAAGTCACAGAATACATCACCAAACAAGAAGCGAAATGAAAGGCTTTTTTGCAATCCAAGTTTCTGTGAGTCAGCCATGTTCTAAATAGTTTATCTGTCAACCTATAAAAACTGAAGTTTGTTATTTATTTACATATTGAGAAGTCATTTTTCGTGTGTTGTTTGATAGTAAAAAAAAGAAACAATACTGTTATACATATTTTTTAATAAACTCATTGTGATGACTGCACGAAAAGGAGGATTTTATTGTGTTGTTCGTGGGTACCCACCTAAACCTGGTGAGGAAATAGGTAAGTCTCCCTGCGATACCTAGAGATTATAGCAGGTAAACAAATTAAATTTGAAATTCAAACTCGTTACAAAATTTATCTGAATGAATATTTTAGTTAAATACACTTAAAAAAATAGAATTTATACAAAACAGATTTACTTAAAAAACATTAGTTTTAATGATTACTTCAATTCTCAGTGTAAATATAATTTGACTACAGTTTTAAAAAACTTCTTCATTACTTCTCTTAGCGTACTAAGTAGTTTAACTGTCATTGTTACTTGGAAATTTCTGTCCTACAAACATCAAAGGTACCGACAAAGCTTTCGCTTCTTGTTGGGTGAAGTATTCTGTGGTTAAGTGGATGTTTTTCACATTTGGTCAAATTGAAGATAGCCTCAAATGGGTTTGACAGAATGAAATATTGGTGTTTGGCACTGTTGAAATTTACATACAAATGAAACATATGTAATCAAAAGCAATAAGATATTTAAAAACTAATACTTAATAATTACGAAAAAAAGAAAAAGTAAATAGTTTTAAAACAGTTTTTAAAAGTAAGTAAATAGTAAAATGTCAGTATAAATAATAGTTAAAAAGACATCTGTTTCACTCTGGCAACTGGTGGTTTGAGGGTTCTGACTATTGCCAGATCTATCCACTAACCTATCAAAGGACAATTGCAAAAAAAATGCTAATAATTAATATCAAACTATACAAATATTAATTCACATTAATGTTTTATATAAGGTATAAAATTGCAGAATCCATATAATAATATAATAAAAATGTATATTTTAAATCTTTACCTCTTTGTATTTAAAGCATATAACATTATAAAGACATTTTTTGTTCTGTGAAATTTAATTGACAGCTAATTTGAGGCTTAATATTGTTCTGAAGCTATTTTCTTGTGGCATTGTAAATTAATTACTATTTATAACTGGGAATAAGCCACAATTAAAGATAAAAATATGTTTATTGACGTTTCAATTTCCAATTCGGAAATCATTCTTTGAACAATTTCCGAATTGGAAATTGAAACGTCAATAAACGTATTTTTATCTTTAATTGTGGTTTATTCCCAGTTATAAATAGTAATTAATTTGAGGCTATCTTCAAATGTGAAAAACATCCAGTTCAACAAATCCAACTATATAACAAAGATAAAAGAATACTAACCTGTGGAACCATTGTAGGTGTTACAGAAAATTTAACAGAATTAATTCTGTTCCAAGATCCATTAATTGGTAATTCAGCACTAACATTTTGAATTAACACAGGTGCAACTCCTGCTTTCTTAATACCATTCATTTCATCAATGTTGTTTGCTACTCTTTCAAGAATGTTATCATTACCTTCTACTATCAAATCTGTTTTTTCTTCCAGACATCTATTACGAACATTTCCTTCTATATGATTAGTTCTTAATATACCATTTATTTGTTTAAGAACTTTAGCACTTTCCCCATTCATTATTTGGTTAAAGGTCTCATGAGTATGATAAAAGTTCCAGTCAGAGCCCTGTGGTAGACTGTTTGAGTGTTTTATGGCTTCCATTAAGGTTTTAAAACCATCCTAAAATAAACCATATAAATATGTTATGGTAACCTTTAGTTAGTTGCATAGGAGGTAATTCTAGGGAATTCATAAACATATAATACAAATAGACTAACTATTGCAATACAGACTCTTGTTTCCCCAATATGACAAGAAAAAACTGATGACATGGGAGCTAAATAACCAATGGGAAAGTTAAGTGCCAGTCCATTAGTAGAAAGAGATGCAGAGACTGCTTTGCGTCAGTTTGCTCTGTTGCACTGGGGGAAGGGGCTGGTATTACAACACTCAGTCTATCTTGTATTACCTATAATGAAAGAATTACTGAGTCAATATAAACTAGCCTAAACCAAACTCTAATGTAAGTTTTTAATGTTATTGATGACTTCTGACATGGATTTTTATATTTACTTACATAGAAGAAATATTTTTATTTCTAGCAAAAAAAGACAATGCTAACTCTTCAACAAAGAATACAACTTGCAAAGAGCTAGAAGTTGGTGTAGGCTATGTCCACATTATTCTATATTATTATTATTGTTATTAATTATAATTAAAATTTACTTATGTGTGACAATTTTAAATATTATTACTTAGTACATAGTTTATTGTTTTTTTTTTAGTTTTATTCTTATATGTTTGTATTGTATCATTGTAATTACACAATTTCTTCCTATTGAGAAGGAATCTGCACATTAAAATATCTTAATATAAAGTAGAATTTTTATGTTCCAAATTTATCACAATGTGCATAGAATTGACCAATTTCAGTCTATCCATACTATATATCATTATTCATAGTCATTTATTATACTATGTTTCAGTCACTTCCAATACTTAAGTATATCACTTCAATTCGAAAATGAATTGTTCAAAGTTAACAAATAGTGTTAGTTGCTCTTCCACATCTCTTTAGTTACGTATTTTTAATTTTTCATTTTACATTGATTTTCAAATAAAACAAATATCGTATAAACTTTTAATGCAAACAAAATAACAACAACAAAATTATAAACAGCTTAAAATTTTGTATTTAAACCAGTTTAAACATATCGAAGACTTATTTATATGACTCAATTTCCGATACGACTATATAAGGGTTAAATATTAATTACATACCTTCATAAAATCTGAAAAGTTATCAAATCCCAACATGTTTATTTTATCTTGATCAGTGACTCGCTTTACTTCCATATTTTCAGAAGACATTTTTGACTTTAAAGTAGTAATTACAAACTATTATTTATACGAAAATGATCAATTTCAGCTAACAATATATAAAGTGATTCAGAACAGCAAATATTTTGTTTTTTGTTATTATATCTCCTCTACTTACTTACCACCTCGTGGTAAGTGTGTTAGTGTATTTGTCAGTATATTTGTCGTCTGTCACTGTCACACTCTCACTGTCACTGTCACTGTCGCGGTGCTGTCACTGCTGTCGCTATCGACTCGTCTCATATGATATGTCAATGTCAACATTGTCTGATCCAGTACCACAGAATAATAAACAATCAGAATTCCCACTCTCCATGGAAAATTAAGTACATGCATCTCCTTCGCGCAGACGTTCCGCCATGTTTTAGAGGGAACCAGTGTTGTTTATGTGGTAGGCATAGACAAAATTAACCCGGTTTAATTTACCTACGGCAATCATAGACATTCTATACAATTATATTAACATTGTTAGATATAATAACATAAATATAATAGAATTAAACATAAATATAAACGATTACATAACCTCACAAATCAATTGTCAGTGTTATGTGTTTCCTTCTAAAACATGGCGCGCGTGCTGAAAAACTTCAAAGGCAGTATCTGAGAATGGGCATTCTGATTATTTATTATTCTGTGCCAGTACTGTTCAGTGACATTTTATCTGGTGTTCATAGAAAAATTAACCCGGTTTAATTTATTTACAGCAACTACAGACATAATAGGCACTATTTTATTCGTACTTTTTAACATTAAGAATGAGAATTCTGATTGTTTATTAGTCTGTGTCGTAGATGTGTATCTTTAATATGCACAGAATCACAGCAAAGACTAATAATAAATTATTATACTATACTATAATAAATTATAACTTATTATACGTCATTGACAAAGACACAAATGCTGTGACTTTGTTCCATCTTTGTTCCTTATGCTATTGAAAATGCTTCGCTATTCTCTGTCCTGTGGTCTGTGAACTGTGTTTGTCATTTGTCATCTTAGTTTTAGTTAATGTCATATGTAATTGTCATGTTATTCATTCAAACAAAACAATGCTAATTTCTTGTATATTAAAACCTAGTTTATAAAGGTTTTGCATTTCATTACAATTTAATATACAAGAAATATCAAATATGGATAAGCTACTACGACCAGACAGATTCGATGCTGATCCTAACTCTCCTAGATCGTCTCAAGAATGGATGCATTGGAAAGCTACCTTTGAAAACTTTATTTCCTCTGTGATTGATGTTTCAGAGGAGGAGAAATTCAAACTACTGGTAAATTACGTGAGCAACAATATCTATGAACTCATCTCTGATTGTAGAAAGTATTCTGAAGCCAAAAGTATTCTTGAAGCAGCTTTTGTTAAACCCAAAAATGAAATTTTTGCCAGACATATCCTAATGACAAAAAAACAACAAACTGGTGAAAATATAGGTCAATACGTTCAACATCTTAAAGTGCTTTCCAAAGACTGTAATTTTCTAGCCGTTTCTGCAGACCAAAATAGAGAAGATTATATAAGAGACTCTTTTATTAATGGCATTCTTTCTAATGACATAAGACAACGTTTACTAGAAAACAACACTATTACTCTGCAAGATGCCATAGTAAAAGCCCAGTCTCTGGAGTCAGCTTCAAAACACTCTGAGGCTTATACAACTCCTGTACAAATTATTAATGCAATTTCTTCTGAAACCAGAGAGCACACTAATTATACTTCTGCTGCTGTGAAAAGTTGGAAATGTTACTTTTGTGGATCAACTGAAAGGCATCCTCGTAGCCTATGCCCTGCTAGAGACAAAGTTTGTAAGAAATGCTCGAAAGTTGGACATTTTTCCAAGGTATGTAGGCTTCAGATGCCCAATTCAGTATCAGCTGCTGTTTTAGCTACTACTACATCTAGTTCGAATGTTAGAAATCTTGCTGCTGCCCCTCAATGCTTATCTAAAAGTGTTACTGAGATAAAGGTGAATGGAAATACAGCTGAAAGTTTAATAGACACAGGTAGTTCTGAGTCATATATCAGTAAGAATTATGCATTGTCTATAAACGTGAAAACATTTAGAAGTCATGCAAGCATAATAATGGCTTCAACAGCACTCAGAACGACTATCTCAGGACACTGCTTTGTTAATTTAGAAATAAACGAACATTCATATAAAAATGTCAAATTATCAATAATTCAAGATTTATGTGCTGATGTAGTTATAGGTCATGACTTGCTTAAACAACATTCTTCTCTAGAAATCACTTTTGCTGGCTCAAAAATGCCTTTAGTTATTGATCATATAGATAACATTTGTAGTTTGGCATACTTAAATATAGAGCCACCCAAATTATTCTCCAATCTATCAAATGATTGCAAACCGAGGGCAACTAAATCAAGAAAATTTTCAACTGAAGATAGAAAATTCATATCTGACGAGATACAGTATCTGCTATCGAATGGAATCATAGAAGAAAGCAACTCTCCTTGGCGTGCACAAGTACTTATTACAAAAGGTGAAACACACAAAAAGCGAATGGTGGTAGATTATTCACAAACAATTAATAAATTTACTTACTTAGATGCCTATCCTCTCCCAGATGTTGAAGATATTGTTAGAAAAGTAGCAAGATATTCTGTCTTCAGTACTATTGATCTTAAAAATGCATACCATCAAATTCCAATTAAAAATGAAGAGAAAATATACACTGCTTTTGAAGCCAACGGCCAACTATACCAATTTTGCCGTATTCCTTTTGGGTAACCAACGGAGTGGCTTGTTTTCAAAGGGTTATCGATGGTATTATTAAATCCGAACATTTAAAAGGTGTGTATGCATATCTTGATGACATTACGGTTTGTGGATTAAATCAACAACAACATAATGAAAATCTTAATAAATTTATGGAAGTAGCGAAGAAATACAATCTAACAATAAATCAAAATAAAAGTTCTTATACACTAAATTCAATCAAACTTTTGGGTTATCAAATAGAAAATCAGACCTTAAAACCTGATCCTGAAAGACTTGAACCATTAAAGAAGTTACCCTTACCAAACGATTCACAATCACTAAAGAGAGCTGTCGGAATGTTTGCACATTATTCCAAATTTATCCCACAATTTTCAGAAAAGATACAAAAACTAGTCACATGCAATACTTTTCCTTTAACAGAACAAGCAGCTGAAGCTTTCCAAATTCTTAAATCTGAAATTATTTCTTCAGCTGTTACTACAATTGATGACAAGATTCCTTTTATCGTTGAATCTGATGCTTCAGATTTTTGTATTGCTGCTTCTCTTAGCCAAGGAGGAAGACCTGTTGCTTTCTTTTCAAGAACCTTATCAAAAAGTGAAAGAAATCATTCATCAGTGGAAAAAGAGGCTTATGCAATAGTGGAAGCTCTTAGAAAATGGAGACATTTCTTGATAGGTAAACATTTTCGACTTATAACTGATCAAAAGTCTGTCTCTTTTATGTTCAATATGCGCCACACTAGTAAGATAAAAAATGAGAAGATTATCAGATGGCGCCTTGAATTATCATGCTACAGTTTCGATATTCAGTACCGACCAGGAGTTGAGAATGTAGTGCCAGATACTTTCTCACGAGTGAGCTGTTCAATAAATCCTCGACCAAGTCTATTTGAACTACATCAATCCTTGTGTCATCCAGGAATCACCAGAATGGTCCATTGGATAAAGACACGCAACTTACCATATACTATTGATGAAGTCCGTGAAATGACCAATCGCTGTCCTATCTGTGCAGAAATAAAACCAAAGTTTTTGAAAACTCAAGGGAGATTAATTAAAGCTACTTCGCCTTTTGAAAGATTGTCTCTGGATTTTAAAGGACCGCTTCCATCTAGATCTCATAACAAATATATCCTAACAATTGTTGATGAATATTCTCGATTCCCCTTTGTATATCCATGTCAAGATGTTTCAGCGAAAACTGTTGTGAAGTGTCTTACAAACTTATTCTCTTTATTTGGAATGCCTAGTTATATCCATTCAGACCAAGGGGGGGCATTTATGTCTCAAGAAGTCAAAACATTTCTCCATTCACAAGGAATACCAACAAGCCGAACAACATCTTACAATCCTGAAGGAAATGGCCAGACAGAAAGATATAATGGAATTATATGGAAAACTATTTCTCTTGCATTAAAATCTAAACATTTAAAAACTGAACAGTGGGAAGAAGTAGTTGAGATAGCTCTTCATTCAATTCGTTCTCTTTTGTGTACATCTACAAACAGTACCCCTCATGAGCGAATGTTTCATCATTCCAGAAAAGCTATAAATGGAGCTGCACTTCCTTCATGGTTGATAACCCCCGGAAAAGTATTTATGAAAAAAAATGTG